TTTCCCTATGGGGCTGTATATTCTTCTAGAGTTCAGCGAGGTTCTTCTGGCAAGATTTCTCTCTTTCATCTCAAAATGATGGAGTGGAGTATTATAAAATCTGATTTAGTATTCGTCTTTTGTCTTGTTTGCGGTTAATGAAGTTGTGGACTTTTAACTTCCAGTAATTGGTATTGTGGTTAACATTCGGGTAATCAGGAAAGGCCATAGCTACATGCTGGTGTTAATAGTCACCCCATGAAAGGCAGAGGCAAGAGGAAGCACAATAATCAGATACTGTGCTTGCAAATCACTGCTAAATTGCTAAATAACTCTTTTTACAGCTCTCTTTCTGGACAGCTTTCTGTTTACTTTTTGTTTGTTTATTTTTAATGTTTGCCATTATTTTTCTTTCTCTAGGTTTTCAAAATGAAAATGAGCAGATGACAAAGCTAAGCATCATTTTCCAGAGAGAAACAAGTATGAGTGGGCTAGCTATACTTGGGGAGACACATTAAATAATGAGCTCAGGGTGACAGATGAAAACAGAAATGATAAACACACTGCGCATGGTCTTTAATACGTGTCAGTTTTAGTACATGTGCAATGCAGTTGTCAGGTAATGCCCAATGCAGAAACTCACTGTCATATGGAGATTGCGCCTGTTGTGTTAATGCTCAGCCTTTTAATTGGTGTCAGTATGGATCAAACCGAGTTGTAACTCCACCATTTTCAACTGAGTTAGACAAGGAGGATTTTGATACTCCTGAATTATAAAGAGAGGCTATTTTATTTCCCTGGTGCTATTTAAAGTAGTAAAGGCATAGAAGATGTTATTATGTGACATGCAGTGCATGCCCCCTTGTTTTAATACAGAAGAAAACAAGAAAAAAACCCTGTTTGAAAGATGGCATTTGAGGTAATAGACGGGTGTATGTTGTACAAGCTCTTCACACCAGAGATTTGGCAAAGGGCAGTATTCTGTCATATGCTAATACAAGTCTAAATAGAAAAGGTACTTGCTTATTTCTTTATTTAAAAAAAAAATGTACTGCTGTCCTCTTAGAGTAATAGAAGTTCCTGCAGAGCCTTCCATGTTCAAATAGCTTACGTTTGTGACTGACACCTTAGAAATCTGAGAAGTATGACTAAGTGAATAGACACAACGCAGTTCACAGTCATTAATCCCCCAGCAGCTGTGGACAGGCAGTGTGGGAGGACTGCTCACTTTACCAGTGCAGGAACCACAGTGTTGGAGCAGTTGTTTTGTTTCCACAGAAAACACCTCCTTTATAGTCACAGCAGAATCTACCATCGCCTCCACAGCAAGGATGCCATTGATACACACTGGTGGGTGCTTCTCTTTCAGCAGATGATAGCTGCTGGATTAAAGCACTTCGGATTTCAGTAGGATTAACTTCCAGTTTCATCTTTGCCTCATGCTCGCTTGGTTTCAGCCTCAGTTCAGGAAGCTGAGTGGAAAGTGCTATTGATACAATATTTTTTTCAAAGTGCTCTCCTGCCACAGCTTTTCTTTTTTACTTCATTTTCTTTGACTTTATTTTCTTCCTAAGAAGCAATCATTAAATTCCAGCCCCACAAAATACACAAGGTTGGCAGGCAGCTGAGACCTGTATTTCACCTTCTATTCTGCCTCAGGCAAAAAGCCACCAGGGATTGGAACCTGTGAGCATCCTAGCTCAGGTCCTCTGTCCTTCTCTTCCTTGCATAAAATGGCACTTTCACTTCTAAGAGCATTTCTTCCAGGTCCCATGGGCAAAATAAGACTATTTTCAACATCAAACCAGACTGGTACAGGTTGCCTACATGCCTGGAACGTCTATATCCCTCTTTTGTTTTACAGAAAGAAAAAACCCCACACTTGCCTTCAAGAAGTAACTCCCTCCATTTCTGCCTAAAAATCCCTAAAATTAGATTTAGCAACCGTAACACCATAATCCGTATCTGAGCTGTCTTCATTGTAGGACCACTAGCAATCACTTAGCAAAAAATATTTTTCATATTTTGTTAATTAACAGGAATCAACCTTAGGATGTAGAATACAAGGAGCGTTGTCTGATCATATATCAATCAGATTGCAGTCACTGGAGTTACTACTTCTTGTATGTAAACAGACCCTACACGGTGTCACATGCACCACATTCTGTCTCTCCCACTCCCCCTTGCAAGATGTTCTTGATGAAATTTTGGAGTGTTTCAAGGAACATCAGTAGATTTCAGATTCATCAGTAGGCCATCTCCTTTCTAGTGTTTTGTGCCTTTAAAGAGCATGGCATCTGAATCTTCTGGGTTGTGCCCAGGTATGCTGTCATGAGCATCAAAAAGGGTCTTTGTGCCAGAGAAAACCCAGACTAGGCCAAGGCTCTCCTGCAGTCACAGACACACACGTGTGGAAGGCACGTGGCCAGGTCTCGGCTTCGGAGGACTACCTGATTCTGTGTAGAAACTGGCAGACGCAAGAGATCCCAGTACAGAATACTAAATAGCTTTACAGTTGAAACTCATGTGTAGGTTGAGTGTTCAACTGCATGCTCTGAATTAGGCAAAATCCCCTTTCCAACATTCCCAGGGATCAGTTTTAATTAGTATCTCATTAACTGTTCTGGTCAGGTCTGTCCCTCTTTATAAGTGGAAGTTCAGGCATGATTACTAGCAGGAGATCCTCCCGGGCTGAAAATGTGGACACACCTCCAGCCATTCACCCTCAGAACCTTCCGCCTTCCAGAGGGTTTTCCTCCTTTTTCACTTTGTCAGTCTGATTGTTAGCTGATGGAGCATTCGGATGGAGGTATGAAGAGGCCAAGTGAAGAGGTGAGCGTGGTCTGCAGCAGGCTGTAGGTCCAGGTGTTTCAACACGTGACAGAGCCTCTGACTAGTTCATGGCTGAGCTTGGTTCCTCTGTAGGACAGGAGTCACCTGCCTTGCCTGTTTTGCTGAAGGGCGCCTCTGTATTTTTCACATTTGAGATGCCATGAGAGTAGAGAGGTCCTGCTGTGATTAAAAAAGAAACTGGTTCATTGCAACATTGTCATTTAAAAATTTCCTTATTTTAAAGACATTTGAAATACACTCTGGTGTCTCAAGCACCACATAAAAACTTTATTCCCTGAAGAGGCCAAACACTAATTCCTGATGCTTTCCAAGTAGCATCTAGGACTTTGTAGTTGCGTTAGCTTTTATGTTCATGTGATTGAAGAAAGGGTCTCCCAGCTCCCCCTTGTGTGGATGCTCTACTCCTGCTATGTCAGGCAGAAAACAAATGTGATTTGTGCTGCTTTTGATCAGACATTTCTACAATGCTTTGCTGCTGGAAAGCAGAATAACACTGTCACAAATTTTAAATTAACAAAATATGCCTAGAAGGGATTGGTAGCTCTTGTTCATCTGATTAATGTCAGGCTTGTAAAGTCTGTTCTCCAACAAAAAGGGCAGCAAATGCTCATGTGAGAAATGTTAAAAACAGGGACTCCATTTTAGTGGATCTTTGTGTTTTAGTTATATTCTCTCGGTGAAGCACCCGGGACCAAATCACAACATCAGCCAGCATCAACGGAGTTGAATTAGGTTGTGTCTGTGTTCACTTTTAATTAGATTTGAAATGGCTATCCCACTGTAGTGCAGCAAGCAACCAAGTCAGTACCTTCCCCTCAGGCCTTATTACTGACAACAACCTTAACATAGATCTGCATATTCAGCAGCTGGGTGGATAGGTGTCATGTATTGGGAAATACAGGCAGGATGTGAAAAACACAGGTTCTCTTTTGTATAGCTCAATTTTTTCTCTCAAATTGAGGGAGTGAGGGACTTTCCTTTCTAAAATTTCCATGTTCTGGCAGTTCTTTGATGCAGCTTTGGTCTAACAGGTATCATCTTACGATAATACTGTGCTGCTCAACAGCGGGATCAAGGCAGCACAGGTAGCAAGTACATTCTGTGCCACCTGATGTATTTTTATGGGTTTATTTTTCCCTTATGTACATTTCTATTCCTTCAAGATGTGCTCTGAGACATTTCCAATTTCAGCATTCTGCCTGTCTCATCTAATTCAATTGTACGCTTTTCTGGGCAAGGACCATATCTGGATTCTGCTTTGAAGTTTCATTACACAGCAGTTCCACAAAGTGATCTTTTAAAAAAGTATCATGATGAGGGAAGGAACTCAACTTATCCACGAGGTTTTGACATGTGAGAAGAGCATGTCCTGGCCTCTCAGGCCTTCAGCAATACTGTACCCACAGGCAGTCTTAACTCCATGTGCTCTTCTTCCACTGAAAATGATCGTTGTGAAAGCAGATTTTGCTTAGGGTTTCCATTAGAGGGGAAGAAGTTGTTGTTCTCTTTATTCCCTTTATCATTTTCACATTTGCTTCTCTTTCAGGTGTGAACAGAAAAGTTACCTATTCCCTGGCAGACTCTGCAGGTGGTTACTTCTCAGTCGACCGGTCATCAGGAATCATTATTTTGGAGCATCCACTTGATAGAGAGCTTCAGTCTTCCTATAACATCAGTGTAAAGGCCTCAGATCAGAGCATTGTGCTGACCTTGTCCTCGTTTGCTACCGTTACCATTACAGTGCTGGACATAAATGACAACCCCCCTGTGTTTGAAAGAAGAGATTATCTTGTTACAGTACCTGAAGACACCTCACCTGGCACTGAGGTCCTTTCTGTTTTTGCTACGAGCCAAGACATTGGTACTAATGCTGAGATTGCCTATGTCATCAGGTCGGGCAATGAGAAAGGGAAGTTCAGGATTAACTCAAAAACAGGTTTGTAAATTGGCTTTTACTTATAATGCAAAATGAAATGTCAGAAAAATGCGGATGCTTTGGGGAAAGGTCTCGAACCAAAACATTTCCAAGGATGGAGGGTTGGAGCTTGTCAATATAGAATTAGTTGTGCAGTTAAAAACTAATTTTAATTTGGAGAGTGATGTAAATTACACTCACACTCAGCTGCCCCAGTGGAGAATTCTTTTCTCCATTAGTTTGTTTATTGAACTCAATGTGGATGTGACAACCCATTAGCCAAACTGTGCAACCCTTACACTTCTGAACACTTGCAATGCTGACCTGCTTACCAGCTGAGTAAAGCCTCAACAGTCTGGACCTTAGCAAGGACCAGACAGTGCTGTCAGGTCCAAATAGCTGGCAGTCTCAACGTGTCCAGTGGTGACTGCTGTTCATACAGCCGTATGTATCTTCACTCACTCAGGGTGCTCCTGATCTGTGTTGTCTGACAGTTGACTTCGGCTGTGGTTTGGGTTTATTTTTTTGGTTACACATCACATTTTAAAAACACAATGCTGCTTCCCTTTAAGAAATACTAAGAAAAACTGCCTTATTTGGTTGAAGAGGTTCATTTTCTTTGTATTTCCTTAGTGGATATATTCTTTATTCTTATGAGGTTTTAATCCGTCAACAGTATGCTGTGATTCTTCTGTGCTTCCTGTAGCGGATCCCCTTATTCTCATAATATTCACGATGATCAGTACAAATCTGCCCCCAGAGCTTAGAGCAAAACAATCTTGATTTTGAAAGCTGAAGGTAACACTTGTTTGAGTGCAGCTGTAATAACCAGTAACCTGGAAAATCTCAGAATGATGCATTCCATCATTTATATTGCTGTGTGCAAAAATCTCTTTCCACTCTGTGGAGGCCACTGCCTTACACGTAAGGGACTTAACATAATTGTGTGTTGTCTGCTATCTTCATAATGTTGATTAGTGCTAGCAAAATTCAAACATAAATACGCCTAGACAGCGATACTTAACTTCACATTTGACAATGAAGCCAAGGAGATAAATCAATAAAAACCCATAATGAAGCTTAATCACAGAGGGGGAAAAAAAACCCTATTTATTATTCATTAATGTGTGACAGCTCCATTATTATCGGTTTAGAAGCAGGAGCTCAGTTTCCAAACAGCCGGGTGCTGATGTAGCATGCTTGATCAGGGCTTGAAAAATAATGTCCTTCACACCATTTATCAGTGGGAACTCTCTGCTAGCCACTTGGAAGATTCTCTCCAGGGCTCCTGCTTCCAGCAAGTCATGCTGAAAGGTAGGATTCATTTGGAGAGAGCCCAGATGAGATTAAGAATGATGATCTGAGGTCTATAAAATGTGACTTACCAGGAAAGATTGAAGGAATTGAGGCTATTTAAGCTAGAAAAGAGAAGACATACTGTTAGTATTCAAGCTTGTAAAAAATACCTATGAAGAGGAGAGTAATAAACTGTTCCCCATGTGCACTCATGAGAAAAGAAGTTGTGAATGGATTTAAATTGCATTTGGATTAAATTGCATTTGGATTATTTCGGTTAAATGATAGGAAGAAATTCCTCACTGTAATGATTATTAAGTACTCAAATACATTTCCTAAGAAGGTTAGGAAACTGATGTTGTTGGAAGTTTATAAGAACATTAGAGATGAGTACCTTCAACAATGACTAGGTTTAGCTGACCTGTGTTGGGCAGCAGTTGGACTACATGACCTTTAAGCCCCACACATCCCTGCTCCTGGTGGGTCTGTACTGAAAAAGATTTAGCTTGCCAAGCTTAAGGACTTGGTTTAAGCCTTTCTTGCCATGCCCAGTATGACCGCCTTCAAGGCATCACTGGTAATCTGTGCAGAACTCACTCCCCCCTTCTTGTTCAGGTCATGGGTACATGTGAAACAAGTGGAGGGCTTGCATAAGAGCATTTCTCTCTTAGATGAGGTCCAGGGGCATGGAGTGAGTCAAGTTACAGAGAATTCTAGTTTTGATTGTGTGGTGAGGGAACCCAGAATTTGTAAAGCTAGTTGAGTGGACAACTCGCTGTTTAATCACATAAATGATAGACAATTGATTTCTCAAAGATATTCATACCCCATCCATTTGTGTTTAATTCATGAGAAGGTAGTTATGTGGGAGTGAATTTCTGTTGACTTGTCAGGGCTGATTTCCAGAGTCGGCATCCAGTTCTCTCACAGGCTCTGTGCATGAGGCCCGGCACATGTGTGGATATGGCCCCCACTTCTTGGTCTACAGTACTGGTATAATAAAAGCTATTTTCTTGAGAAAACATTCATTGTTTCATGCTTTCTGAAGGTCCTTTCTGCAGAGGCAACCCAAATGCAATTGGCATCATTCTTTAACAAAACGACGGCAGTAGAAACCTGACCAAATATTTTTATTGGATTGGGCAGTGTTACAGTTAGAACAACATATTTTGTATGTGTGACATGGTGATAAATAGCATGCTGTACTGTTTACTACAGTCAAATCCCTTAGTCTGTAGCATTATTTGTTTTTCCATGGCTGTTGACATTCCCTCCCTTGCTTCAAAGGAGCGATTTCCATTTTTGAAGCTTTGGATTACGAATCATGTAAGGATTTCTACTTAGTAGTAGAAGCAAAAGATGGAGGTACTCCAGCTTTGAGCGCCGTCACGACCGTGAATGTAAACGTGACGGATGTTAATGACAACGCACCGAAATTCAGCCAGGTGGTCTACAGCGCGGTCATCAGCGAGGACGCTGCCATCGGTGACTCGGTGATAATGGTGAGTGAGGCCGTGGGCAACGTTTAGGTTGGATGAAGCTCTCTGCTACATGACCTCTGTTAAAATAGTTAATTAACTAGTTAATAATGATAACTACTGCATCCTAAGTCACCCAACCTATTGTCTAGCCAACGTTCTGCGTCTGCTGCTGCTTCCAGGTTGTTGCCAATTTTCCCCAAAAAAAGAAAGTAGCAGTAGCACCGACTATTTCTTTTCAACCCTGATATGCTGTCAAGGAGTAAGGACATGTTTAAGGCAATGAATTTCATGAGTCAGCTAGAAAGAAGTGGATTTTTTTTTTTTTTTGAAAGGCAGAATTCAAATTTTCAGTGAAATACATAGTAATTTGTATCATGTCGTATTTGTAGCTGGCATGCAGTGTGCTATACCCACACCTCCCAGTGCTCTCATCTTGGAACTGGGGGATCCAGAAAGAAAGTGTTATCTGTAATATTAAGATTAAAATATGTATATGTTTTAAGGCTAGAATTTTGAGAAGGTCCAAGGGGAGGTTGATGCTGTAGAGATGTGCAGTTCAGATGTAACTAGTCTGGCGGAATATGAAGTCTCACGTTTTGGGGTGTGTAGCAATTGATGTAGCATACGGATGGCTTAATACCTGGTTTGCTAATTTTCACTTTTCTCTCAAAAAAGTTGATAGCAGAAGATCTGGACAGTCCTTCCAATGGCCAGATTCATTTTTCCATAGTGAATGGGGATCGAGACAATGAATTTTCTGTTGATCCTGTTTTGGGACTCGTGAAGGTTAAAAAGAAATTGGATAGAGAAAGGGTAAGACATGTGGGACTTCTGAACTTACAATGACTTACAGATGTGTATTGACTTCAACTCTGCTGCTAACTCATTTTGAATCTTCTTTTATACTCTGCACTGGTCAGCCTAAGATGCTCCAACAGGTCTTTCTAATGTTGTTCCACTTCTTCCCGCCGCAAGCCTATCCCCGGTCCTGTTGACAAGCCAACTGCTCTGCCTGTGTTCCCACCCTGCACCAACTCAGCAGCTGAGGCCGGGTCGGGGGAAAAAAACAACCCTGGAATTCTCCTGCGGTGCCACGGGCAGCTGTTGCTGTGTTAATGAGCTGCCTCCTCTCCTGCGCGTGCAAGCGCACACGTGCAGCAGTGTGTGCAACAGAGTGATTACAACATACTCCAGATTGTGGCACCAAGCACCGAGCTGAGACCTCAGCCATTAATTAGCGCTCTGAAAAACATGTCACTGGGGAGGTGATGTTATGAAGTGGCCAGGCTGTACCAAAAGTGAGAGAGTGCTTCATTAAACAGATTCTGCTGCTTTGTTTGTTCACTAGATTATTCATTCAGGGTAATTTATCACCATTTTGCCATACCTAGCAATTAGCAGCTTTTTTAAAAAGAAACCAAACAAACACATGCAGTTGCCTGTGCTACTGGCAGGGTGGGAGAGTGCTGCGTGGCTCTAAAAGTCTTGCAATGCATGAAGAAATCCACTGCCTCTGAGCATCCATGAAACTGGGGAAGCTGATTGCTCTCCTCAGAATATGGGCTCAGCTGGAAGAGCTCTCTACTGGAATCAGGGCCACTGCTTGAAACACTGGCAAATACATTTTCCGTGTTATAACGAAGGCAGGATTAAACTGTGAGTGTTGGGTGGCAGAATGACTTTGCCGCAGACTGTTGAGGACAGGGAAGTAACAATGGCTGTCCGTGTTACAAATTTGCTGCAATATATTTCTTTTAAATGGCACAGGCTTAATTTCTTGGTATGATTTTATTTCCTTTCTGAAGTGTGCTCACATCCATCTGCATTCAGACACACATTCACCCTCACTAGCGTGCGCATGTTTAATGCCAGCTCTGTTAGATCTGCATTTTCCAAAGTCCACCTTGGTTAAAACAAGCTGTGATACGGTCTTTTTCTTTGCTTCCTTGGCACATTTCCTACACACTGGTGTTTCTGACCCCTTCAGGGAAAGTGGTACATGACCCCCCCTCCTGCTGTATATCCCCAAAGGCAGTGCTGACTCCCAGGTTTCAGTGGTTTAAGGAAACTCATTTCTAGAGCTGTAATCGCATAGAAACCATGACTTTTGCCACCTACTCTTCTGGGATACATAAAAATGAAAGCAATCATGCAAAACATTTGGAAAGACCCTACAAGACTCTCGATCTTGATTTTAGCTAGCAGTAGAAATTACAGCTTCAAAGGGGAAAAAGAAAAAAAAAGATTCATTCTCTGCCTCAGTTTCTTCACTTTCCATGGTTCAGGATTCTTCCTCTCTCCTCTGACACTACAACCCCACCAAACTGCAGTCTTTCTCCTCCATACAACCCTTGCAATAAACATACCTTTTTTTTTAGATTGGTCCCAAATCCCAGATGAGCTTCCTTGTTTCATACGCTTACCCTGTACTCCTCCCTCCTACCCAAATAGCTTTTGTTTTTCAAATGGCTTTGGAGTTCTTCTCACCCTGAAAAAGCACCCTTAATGTTATGTCACTCCCTTCTCCAGGGGCATGTTTCTTCCCTTCCCAGCCCCTCACTGAGAGGCTGGAGTGGGGTGTTTTCTCTGGCGCGCGTTTTGCCCTGTGCTGGCTCCACCGTAGAAGGATTCAGGGGCAGACGTGTCAGCAGCCCTCTGCGGGGAGCGTAGAGCGACACACAGTGAAGAGCAGCCGTGTAAGAAGGCTGGCTCAAGTATGTGGTTCACAAAACCAGTCTGTCATCCATACGCTGTGTGTAGACAGAGCTTTGGCAAATTGTCACATTCGCTCACACCTCACGCATGGGCACATATGTGCGTAGAGGGCCCATGGGTGATGCACTGAACTGCCCACACCGTGCTGAGTAGTTAGTGGTTGTTGCACACAAATATGCTCAAAAACCCCTTCTCTTCTACTAAATGTTGGATAGTACCGTGTTCCTACAGAGACTGTGTTGTCCCTAGTCGTCCCAAATGTTTTCCAGTATGTTTAAGCCAACTGTCTGTGAACTTTTTCTTGGTTCTCCATCACTATGTTAGATACACTATGTGTAAAACTGAGGTTGGCTTTCGTAATTTGTATAATATCCTGAAAACCAACCCTAAGATAAACAGAATCAGGTCACATATCCCATCTGACACCTAGGAGAGATGAAAATGTTCGCTGCAGTATTAGTGGCTGAGTTTGGATATTACCTGTCATCTATTTTTTGTCTGCCCCTTTGTTTCAGGAGTGCATCATCTGAGACAGTTATTTTAATACAGTGAAGCTGTTACGTTTATTGATAGTCTTATAAAACAGAAGTTGGGACACAGTGTGGCAATAAACAGGATAATGTTATACTAAGGGCAGGGAAGGTAATGAGGCCAAACAGCTTTCCTTAGAATATGGTAGGTGGTGCACTGGGTGTAAAGAACATGAGTTAAAATTTAGGACCGCTTTCATGATGATTTAATGTTTTCACCTTTTTGCAGATATCTGGTTATTCATTAGTTATCCAGGCAAGAGATAGCGGCACCCCTCCTTTGTCTTCATCTGTGACGGTCAACGTGGACATTTCCGATGTGAATGATAATAGCCCTGTATTTACTCCAGCTAATTATACAGCTGTAATTCAAGTAAGTTTATCCTGCACATCCAGAACTTCTTGGACTTTTAAAATACAAAAGCATTTGGTTTCAGTTAAGTGGCTTTTGATGATTTATCTGCCAAAGATGTATCAAGTGATTTTACTTAAAGGAAACTATAAACACATCTTTCTTAACTCTTCAGTGAGTTTCTGCTTGGTGAGGCTCTTTAACCTCGGCATCTGTCACACATTTTACTGTTCATCCCTGTTGCACCAGAAATGGTACTCTGTCCTCAAAAAGTGTGAGCTGGGATGAGTTTGCGCTTCTTTACACCTTGCTCAGGCAGAGCTCATCAGCCCTGGAGATGTGGTGGGTACCTCCATCTCTGCTACCCGCCCATGAGGTGTAAGTGGTGCCAAATTAACGCTGCTTGTGAAACGCTGTCTTGGGCAAAGAACATTCAGTTGAATATTCTCGTTAGCAATATGTGTTGTTTTATGATTGTGACATGTATTATTTTAATCCTTTTCTTTATACACTGTGTATATGTGTAAAGGAAAATAAACCAGTGGGCACAAGCATTTTGCAGCTGGTAGTGACAGACAAAGACTCTTTTCACAATGGCCCCCCTTTTACCTTCACCATCCTCACTGGCAATGAAGAGGAGGAGTTTACGCTGGACCCTCACGGTGTCTTGAGATCTGCAGTCATCTTCAAGCACATGGTTGCAACCGAGTATGTGCTCTGCGTGCAGGTATGGCTCGATTTTCACATCTGCACAGAAACAAAAAGCTTCGTAGTGGTAGGTCATCTGTACATTACCTGTATGTGTTGGTTTTAATTGACTGTATTCTGCTGGTAAATGCCATTCCAGTTTACAAGTGCACAATATGGTATATTTCCTTTGATGTCCTTAAACCCAATTTCATATAAATATAAATAGGTAGCCAGCCACCTTTCCAATTTCCTCTGCATGAAATGGATTTTCTGAGCAGTGGCTGTGATGATTTAAGATTTTCATCCTTTTTTTTTTTTCTGTAGCTAAGCAAGGAAAATAAGCAAAGTTGCATTATGTCCATATAAATACACCACAGAACAAGTGACAGCAAAATATTGTTCTAGGAAGGAAAATCACTTCTGCTTTTAAGTCATAAATTTAATCATAAATTTTTGGAAGCCTACCAAGAATTCATGAAATCACATTTCCAAGGTCAACTTAGCTTTTAAAGAATGTGAAAACAAGACATGCAATAGAAGTCCAGCTCAAACTTAGCTTTAAAGTCATTCTTGAGGAACTTTGTAACCAAGGTAATTTTGATTACAAAAACCTGTGAATCCAGAAGTGATTTGCCCACATTTCTCAAGCCTGACGGAGAAAATGTAGTAGGGTTCAATAAATACGCAAGTTTAAGAATGAACTACGCTTCTTCACTGAAATGGGACATGGTCCTCTAAGTCTGAAATGCAGGCTTCCTCCACGTGCTTTACCAGGGTTATTTCTCTAAAAACAGCCTGGCTGCTCCTTTACAGGCACACTTAATGCTGTTTGTAGCAGTAGCTATTCAAAAAATATAAGCTCTGATGTTAATAAACAGTTCAAAGTGATGTTTTGCAAGGTTGCCATTTAATATTCCTGCAACCCATTTTTTGAGCCTTGTAGGAAAATTTAAAAAAAAAACCCTCACCTTTCATTCTTACCGTGCCTTCATCCTGAAAGATCCTTTTTTCAGGGCAGTTTTCTAGCCAAAGTTTAGTATACTCAAAATTGGGCATTACAATTAAAGTGGTATCCTCTAGCTATATAGATCCAAGTATGTCATATAAAGGAAATATTAGACAGACCACAATGTCTGAGATGAACCAACATGTTCAAAAAAACCATGCTGTTGGATTGTAGAGGCCTAATTCCTCCAAGTATTATTTCCTTTAGGGATTTTTGCAGTGGAAACACATTTTATCGTGTCTTGTTGTGTATAGAGCATAGAAATATTTCTTTCCACTCATATGTACCAGAGTGCTGCTTTATCCTTTCCACCATTAGGTTCCTCCTCTCTGTTATGTTTATTAAAAAGTAATGTTACAATTGAAAGTGGAATAGAATGTAAATCCCTGTGCATATACATTTGTATGTATGTGTGTGCACATACACATAAAACCTTTTCTTAAATACTCCACCCAGCCCTTTTAGGAGTGAGGGTAAATGATTTTTGTGTCTTAGAGTTGCCAATCCTTTCATAGTAATATCCATATTACTATTGCCATCCTGTCTTTTTTTTCCTTCAGCCCATAAATTTTCCTCCCCATGTCTAAATACAAAGACATTTGAGTGTGTGCTACCTCTCTGCCCAGTGGTATTTTAGTCTTCCATTCTTCTCTGGAGCAAATAAATGTGTGGAGCAGTTTATCTTAATAGTGACTTCAATGAAACATTTTTCTTAGTGCAGGGAAGGACACTGATTCAAGTTTGCACACCTTTCTGACAAGATGGCCTTGGGTTTTTTGTCATACTTGCTCTTTTACTCTCTATAAAAAAGTGCAAACGATGCTATCATACGTGCTCTGGGTCATACAGTCATCTGTACAAGTGCAGTGCTGCTCTCATATTTTAGCGTTAGTAACAGCACAAGCACCTTATTTCATTTTTGGAGGACGATAAATTTCATTTATTTCAAGCATGTTTCTTGCCTGCTTCAGGTAAAGAATTACAGAGTACTGTAGAAAAACTCTGAAGTCCCTCACGTCCACACAAACTAAACAGGGTCTGAAACACTTTGGAGCACACCAAGCAATGCAGAAACTGATGCTGATATTCGAGTGGGCTTCAGTCTCTTTCCCAGGGTAGGAGTGAGCCCAAACTCCACTTGGTGCAGAGTATACCATATTCAGATGGCTCTGTTTTGAAGAGGACAAGTGATAGCTGTGGGATCGTGGGATCATTTCAGTCTGAGTAATGAGACATTCTGCTGACACATTTATCTCTGCAATCCACTTAGATGGGATATCAGTGCTTCCCTAAAGAGTTTGTAAGTTCCACTGCTAGAAATGGCTGAGACATTTCTTTACATATGTATTTTGCAAATGCGTTTGGGATGTTATTTTGAGAGGTCTTCAGAATTACTGATGCTGTGAAACCATATATAGCAGGAAGACATGGTTGTTGGCTGTGTTATGTGTGTGTTACATTTTGAGTTTTGTTGTTTTTTTCTAAATTACATTAGGCAAAGGACTCTGGAAAGCCTCAGCAGGTTTCCCACACCTACGTTCAGGTGAGAGTTATTGAAGAGAGCATTCACAAACCGACTGCCATTCCACTGGAGATTTTCATTGTCACCATGGAAGACGATTTTCCTGGCGGAGTCATTGGGAAAATTCATGCCACAGACCAGGATGTGTATGATGTCCTCACATATACGCTAAAATCAGAGCAGAAAAGTTTGTTCAAGGTCAACAGCCATGATGGAAAGATCATTGCGCTTGGAGGGCTTGATAACGGCAAGTATGTCCTGAACGTCTCTGTCAGTGATGGCCGGTTCCAGGTACCCATCGACGTTGTGGTCCACGTTGAGCAGTTGCTACAAGAAATGCTGCAGAACACAGTCACCATCCGTTTTGAGAACGTTTCCCCGGAAGACTTTGTGGGCCTTCACATGCACGGGTTCAGGCGTACCTTGCGAAACGCAGTGCTCTCCCAAAAACAAGACAGCCTGCACATCATCAGTATTCAGCCGGTGGCAGGCAGCAGTCAGCTTGACATGCTGTTTGCGGTTCAGATGCACAACGGTGGTTTCTATAAGCCTGCCTATTTGATTCAGAAGCTTACCAATGCAAGGAGACACTTGGAAAATGTGATTCGTATTTCTGCTATCTTGGAGAAGAATTGCTCTGGACTAGATTGTCAGGAACAACACTGTGAGCAAAGTCTATCTATTGATTCGCATTCGCTGATGACCTATAGCACAGCACGAATTAGTTTTGTGTGCCCCCGCTTTTACAGGAATGTGCGCTGCATGTGCAATGGTGAGTACCGTTCCCTCTTCCCCTCCCATCCGTACACATTATGTGATAGGATCGGTTTTATTCCTCTGATGCAGATTAGAAGGGGCATTTCAATTCAGCCCGTTAAAGCACAACTGGCTGATGTATTGTGGGAATTGATTTCTCAGGCTCAGGAAGAATTGTTCGTGTTTACTGATGTAAATGGAAGTTGATGAACTTTGGCCTTCTAAGACAAAGACTGCTTTCCTGGAGGCTCCGTAATCAGAGCCATCAACCAGCTTCCAGGGGAGGCGAACGAAGGGGAGAGCAGGGGAGAGGAGAGGAGGAGGGATGGGGTTTCCCACCCCCTCCATGCCACCAGTGGAATAAACCCAGAGTGTGACCGTAGCAGAGCAGCCTGGTCCGCAGCGATGCACCAGCCATCTCCAAGGGAAAAGGACCCCTGACCTAAGCAGTGCAGGTGAAAGGGCCTTTTCCAGCCCCATTTTTGCAGAGAGGCATGGAAACCAATGAAGTATTTTATTGGTTTAACTGCAAGCCAGCACTGTTCCTGACCTTTAATGCTACAGTAGGTGACAGGGTGAGTTTCAGACTGCTCCACATTTTGGCAGAGATTTTAACACGGGCATCTATATGAGAGAGAGACTCCAGAGCCCATCTTCCTTGTGATTCCGCACTTGGAGTATAAAAGCTCAGGCAGTTATAATAATAGTTCTGTTTCTTTTGTTTGCCAGGCTGTTTGCTCCTCATTCCACTTCATTGAAGAGCAGAATAAAAAAACGCTGCTGTAAAATCAATACATCTAAGTCTCCCTCACGTTAGGCACGCATGCACACATAGACACAGAGCAGTGCGGTCATTCAGCAGCCACGTCTCTCAGTAACCACCCTTTGTTTCTGCAACAGTCAGCAGGACTTTGTGTCTTACCATTGACTTGAGTGGGGATGAAAATAGGCATAAATTGCTTAAAACTTAACCAGAAATCATTGTCTCCTGAGGCATGTGAATAATAATGCTTTAGAAGTTCAGTTCTGTAAAAACATCAGAATTATGGATCTGAGGTATTTTCATGTACATTCAAGAGCAGACTGGTCAATTTTTAAGGAATAGCATTATAAGTTTCAAACAGATGTATCTATTATAACAATAGTCGGTGTTTTGTCACACATGAAAAGCTCTGAAAGAAAGGAATTTCACAGGTTTAAAAGGGACAGTGCTGCAGTACCCTCCAGACAAGTCCAGGAGCCAGTGAAGGAGCAATAGGGCCTGTAGTGGCAGGACAAGGGGTAATGGGTTTAAACTGGAAGCAGGGAGGTTTAGATTAGATATCAGGAAGACGTTCTTCACAGAGAGGGTGGTGAGGCATGGGAACAGGTTGCCCAGAGAAGCTGTGGATGCCCCATCCCTGGAAGTGTTCAAGGCCAGGCTGGATGAGGCTTTGAGCAACCTGGTGTAGTGGAAGATGTCCCTGCCCATGGCAGGGGGGTTGGAACTGGATGGGCTTTAAGGTCCCTTCCAACCCCAACCATTCTATGATTCTATGATAATATCGGCAAAACACTTCTGTATTCTCCAAGTCGTAGCTTTGTCTCGTTTTCATACCAAGAAGTCAGAAATCCTTATCTCCATGGGGATAGTGATAGCCCGTACAGTCAGAAACTGGTTTTGTGGAAGCCAACATTTTAATTGTTTATAATTTCATTTCACTGCTTATTAAAGTCAGTAATGATCTATTATTCCCTTCAGATACTATGTGGATCTGCCTCATAATCCCTTAGCTTAGCTCAAAAAAAAAGGACTTGGCAATGCAGTACAGTTCTAATCCAGCAGCTTTCTCCCTTTTCCTCCCTGCACAGCAAGTTTGCACTGGAAGCACAAGAAATCAGCTGGGACAGCAATTTCCAAATTTTTCTGTCATGTACCAGTCAATCCTCAAAATGTATGTCAAGCTGCCGGAAAGGCAGTGTGGTTCTGTCTGTGGTCCCTAGCCTCTGGACTGTTTATCATGGCCTTGGTACTGCTGTATGGGAACAGTTCAACAGGCAGCTTGTCCTGGTCCAGCTGGGAAGCTGGAAGGGTTCCCACAGCTCCTGTTCAGGCCACTACTTGCTGATTTACCAGGGGTGACCCACCAGACTTGGGGTGGCATTGTGCGTGTCAAGTCCACCACCCGGCTGGTAACGAAATAGTGCTCAGAGCTGCTGATCTAAGGACAGCTGCCGCAGGGGTGAAGGCTTTGGTCCCTACTACTTGCCCAAAGATGAGGGATCTCGGTGGGAAGTAAAAAAATACGTACTTTTCCCTTCTCCACGTTATTTAATGCTTCAGCCTCTTTTACTTTTTTTAATTAAAGGAGTCACTAGAAATGTCTTCGTATTTAGGTAAGTACACAGACACACACTGTGTTTTATCCCATAGGAGGTAACACAGACTTCTGAAGGTACATTGATTAGGGAACGTATGTATAGTTTTGCATTCATGAAGTCTTAAGACTGGGCCTAGTAAAAGAGTTAGGAAAATGCAAATACTTCCTTGACTGGTAGTTCTTGCCCATGCATATAAATGCAGCATGTCAGGAGGAAGAGCACAAAATACTACAATAAATTTCTTTTGGCTTGTTTAACAAGACAGCATTAGCAAGTTATTATCAGTATAATAAAAGTATTATACTTCTTTTGTTACTAGGAGAGTTTCATGATCCAGTCCAGTAAATATTAATAGCTTGAATTATGACCAAGCCATTAAAATATTGCATATGTTTCTGGAGTTCTGATTCAATTACAACTCAGAAATCTTGAGTTTGAACTAATTCACTCGTTCTTGAAATATGTATCATACTTGGAGTGTTTTTCCCACTGGCAGATGTCACAGATATGTACAATTTATGCATGCCAGCTGTGCATAGCTTACCTAGATTACCTTTGTGAGCAAACGGAGTTATCTAACGGGAACACGCAGGCAGACTGCAAAGCAGGCGGTGGGTGAACTTCGGAGCGTCAGCAGCTCGGTGCTGGAAGGACAAGTTCGAAAGTTCAGGTGCATCTATCTCAGCCTTTAAAATCAATAAAATTGAACTAAAGAGTTTTCCAATAACAGACTGTCTCCTTAGATTTCTGGCTCATCTGCTTGAGTTGGTATGAAAAATATTGGAACAAACTGGGGTTTGTTTGAGTGTGGCTGTAGGGGATATGCAACTGCCAGCCTCCCATCTCATGACATGAGGTATGCAAACATCTGTCAGCGTGTGTGGGAAAGAAAGGTAGGAGGGCTGGAATAAATATATTCGTGTATAATAGTTCTCATGACATTCTAATTTTTCAGAAGCAAAAATCTATTCCAGATTTCTATTTTTTCATGATGCAAAGCAATTCTTCTGTGTTGAGACAAAGACACAAGGAAGAGGCAGGTTTTGTTGGGACTCCTTTGCTATAGAATTGTTCTGTGTTATAATCATACAAAAGTGAGGTTACATTAATATGTTTATGGGAGAGGGCTGGGTTGAAATCATCTTGACTAATGTAGGTATGTAGCTACAGCTGAGCTGGTCACTTCAGGCCCCATTTGCAGACAGTGGAAAAGAGCGAGGTATGATGTGATACATCTCTCCCTGGATGTCTAAAATCAGTCGAATGAATCATGCCCTAAAGTTAGATGAGATGAATTCCATTTCAAGTGTTTAATATGGTTCTGGCTTAATAGTTTGAAAGAATTTTTCTAATACACCCAGAAGTGTTCAGCAAAAGTACAGACACTCACACCCCTGTTATTTAATCAAGTGAATAGCAGTCTTGGACCAGTTTCTGATGAAACTAGGCAGTTCAGACTTTATGAAGCCACTTCTAGCATTTTGTGAATGTTCTGACAAAAGGAAATCACAGGCTATGATGCATTATAAGATTTGCTATTGGTATAGGACCTACCTTTAAAAGGTGGTTTGTCTCCTCTGCTACACGGAGCTTGCTTTACATCTGAGAGTCCCAAAGTTTTTTGCAGGATTGGGCATCAGAAACCTAATTCCTGATTAGCACCGCTTTTCCTACTTGCAGGAAGCGCACAAGTACTAATGAAACTTGAGTTGTCATGGCAAGATAGCCAGGACAGGAAGACTGAAGAAGAAGGTGCCCTGCCTGTACTGGGGGACAAAGAACTGCAGATATATTCAATAAACTTGATTTAGCTGTAGTAGTTTTAGCACTGCACTGGTGTAAGGAGAGATGTTTCTCCCTGTGAATATCCCCCATTTTAAGGCCCATGCTGAGAACGCACAATCTCATATAAAATGTGGGGGAGCTGAAGCATGAAGTGGGGACATGACTAAAATCGGGAATTGCATCTACCACATCACGGATCTTAAGGGAAGCTGTGATCAAGGAGTGGATGGAAGAGGTCAAATGTCTTGGCCTTAAAACTGGGAGAGAATCTGACTTACTAGGACATAGCATGACACAAAGTTTTCCAGGCGTGCTTGAGCTGCCTGAAACCCTTGGTTGACTTGTGCAGAAACAAGTATACGGTATTTGCACTGATACGTGTACGGTAACCTTTGCTTACAAGACCTGGTCACCATGCTCCAAAAATAAAATAAAATAAAATTGCAGCTCATGAGTTGACTGTCTTCCCTCCCCACTAAGCTAATTCTTACATGTTTAAAGGTAGTAGTATGGAGCTTTACTTGATTTGCTTTCTGGGACTTTGAATTTTAGGAGTCACCTTTCAAGCTTTTTTCTGTCACCAAGAGAAACAGTCACTTTTTTTTTGATATTTATACAGATTCACAAGAATAAGCTTACAGAAAAACACCAAATATCACAAGGCTCAAGTTAAAATTGTTGAAGCACTCAATTTTCAAAACGTGTTTACATTCCTGGAAGTGATCCTTCTTTGGTTGGACTAGAACTAAATAGATCTCTTATTTTGCAATGGAAGTGTTTTCTTTCTCAGTGTACTAGTAGGGAGATTGTAATTCTTTTACATTCTTTTAGAGAATTAAACTGAAGATGATCTGTCAAAATCAAGTGGGTCCATTCCACCTTTTCCTGCCATGCATTGGTTGATGCTAGATCATGTGTCTGTGTGATACATTGCAGGGAACAGTTTTATTAATACCAATGGAAGTTTGAAGGGAATGCCATGGATTGTCTGGACTTGCCTACAGAAAAAAAAAAGGGATCAATTCAAATCCATATTTCTCAAATCTTTTATTGGATGGTAAATAAGAGTGTTCTTTGGAGTGGAAATGCAACATTAGAATAATTTTATTGAAACTCAGGCTGTAAATCTTTGATGTGGACAACGTAACCTTGAATGATTTCACCGTTTTGCTCCGCATAGTTGTGAAATCAGCCTGAAAATGCACGTTAGCTAAGGCAATGCAGTAATGTAGATTTGTAGCTTATGTACTTATAACTCTACAGACAGGCATAAAGCGTTTCTTCTCCCAAGGCTGAATATTTTAAAACTTTTGTGACAGCAATGAAATCCTCATGCATCAGGATGAATAAAAAGTTGATTTGCTTGTAGTTTACTGGAAAACTATTCTGGCCTGCCAGCATAAGCAATTCTTTAGTGTATCACCACAGTTGCACTAAATACGTTAGATTCTCTCTGTATATTTTTTTGACTGTGGAAGGATGACTCTGAAGTACAAACCAGAGTTTGAATCAGCTAAAAAAACCTGGCAGAGATGGATAACGAAGTCAGCTATTGCTTTATTGCTTCATGTCAAAGATACAGCTATAGGTTAGGGGACAGGAAAATTTGCAGAGCCACATTTGGAAATCTCAGTGTCCCTTTCTGCTGCATGCTGACGAGCTGTCGGGCTTTTGGCCAAATGACTAGTCTGTCAGCTACGCAGAAGCTCACGTGAATTACAGACTCACAAAAGGTTTAAGTGTGTTCAGAGGAGAGATAAACTCTGCGTACAGCAGAATGCTGTGTATTTGTCACATAACAATGAATTAAAATAGCTGAAAGAATCAAGCAGAAAGTACAAGGCAGCCTATAGAATACTTAACCACCTGTTATAGCTTCAGAAATACTTACTTGCCATCGAATTCCAAAGAATTACTTTCTTCTTCTAGAAGAAAAAAAACTATAGAAAACATCATATTCCCTGTTAAATTCTTCAGACCTTACTACTTTAAGACCTTACTTACTTTAAACTAGAATATAGTTCTGCAGTGCAGAACCCTATGAAATGACATTTATTTCTTGATTCTATAAGACAAAGTGGGACTGTGTATTGCAGCTGTTATTCCTGCTAAAGTTACCTACTAAAGTGATTAATAAAGATTGCCATGCATCATTTTCTAACAGTGCTACAGGCAGTACTGTAAATCGTTTACTGTACAGACCTCAAACAAATGTTTGACAAAGGAGGGGAGGATGTTAAAGATTAAATTGACTGTGCTGTATATCAAGCAAGACATTTACAGTCATTGCCATATTTGTAGTCAGCCCATGTCCACTTTGAAACCTACAGTAGTAATTTTTCCAGAAAATGCTTACAGTGCCAGGTAATTTCATCTATGAGCCCTTCTTGGCGTGTACTGAAGTGTGGGAGCAATAAGATTCTTGCTTTCATTACTTTCAGAGATATACCCTATGACAGGTTGATTTCTTCCTTTATAAATTGTAAATAAAATACATATACTCAAAAAATAAAGTAGTTTTTTGAATACAATAAAGGTCCTGCAATAAACAAGTACTGCCAATATTCAGAAAGTGATGAGTAGGAAGGTGCTGACTTTTTATTGTTAAAATCATCACCTGCATGTATTACATAAATGAATTTGATAAGCAAAACAGGAGACAACTGGTTCTCCCTCTGTGCAAGCCCTGGCTGCGAATCACTCCGGCAAGGGCAGTAGTGCCTCTTTTTCCTGCACTTAAAGGCTACTTTCATAGCAGCTACACAGAGATGTCCAAAGGTAGAAGCTGAGCCTGCATCTGAAAAGTTCCTTATTGCAACCAAGAAAAGGCTAACTGTGGTGGAATTTGTATATTCCTGAGAATTCATCTGTTAAGCAGCAATGGTTGCATTGTGTTTCGCATTATTTTAGACAGCGTTTGCAAATATTTTAAGATTAGGGCACGCAAGACAGATCTATTTAGACACTTTCAGATGTTATATAGGTTTACCCAAACCCCATGGAATGCAAGAAGTTCCTTTGGCACTGACAGGCTTCAAGTAAGCCCTCGACATGCTCAGCTTGATAGATGTTAAGAATTTAGGAGGTTTTGAAGAACCTTAATGTACTTGTGTTGCACAGGTATCTTAGGCAAATTTAAAACTCAGTATTCATCTGTCCCTTCAGATTACTTCCCCTGTGAAGTTAGTAGTAATTCTGGATTCACGTATTCTTGTGCAAGATTAGATTCCATACTAATAAAAGATTTTTAGGAAAGAAAACTGGAAACACTGGCATTCAGAATAATTTTATCCAAATTACTCTTTTCCCCAATACAAAAAAAGGACATAGATGTTTTGCCCAATGTATAAATATAAATTGCAGCTGGCTATTTAAGCTGTTTCAATTAGGTAGTGTCACAAAACACAAACACCTTTTTTTTTTTAATATTCTGAATTTCTTAACTCGTTCGTTGTGTCCAGAGCAAGTAATCTCAATTAGGTAGTGTCACAAAACACAAACGCCTTTTTTTTTTTAATATTCTGAATTTCTTAACTTTAAGTTCGTTGTGTCCAGACCAAGTAATCCACCTTTTTATTCCCTGGATATGTGCAGTTCCAGATGCAACAGAACTTGTGAGTCACAGCCAGAATAAAGGATAGGTTTTGGCAGCCTGGGCAAGATACAGAATAGGATGCGAGTTCTTGGAAATGTCAGGAGGAACATGGAGGCAGAGCAAGTTTGCATTGCTGCACGATCAGGCTGTCAGCGTGTCCTGTGCAGAATGAGGATGGAAAGTCCAGCTGTCACTCTGTAGCCCAGGAATGGCTTTTTCTTATTTTGTTTCCTGGTGAACTCTACCTCCTTAAATTTGTTTCTCACGGGTGTGCTCAGGCAAAAGGAGTGCATAACTTCAAGTCATTTGGTTTCTCATATCTCTAAATGCCCTGCACAAGAGGCTTTGTGAGAAAATGAATGGCCTGAGAGTCACAACACCAATTATAAACCAGTTACTGCTCATAACAGTTGAGTTTTATAATACGTTGCTATGGGGTTTAGGGCAGCCCTTGAAGAACATTAATGGTTTTGCTACATCCAAAGGACTCCTCTTGCATGAAGGGTTTTTTTCTTGTTATTATTATAAAGCCATTCTTTGCTTGTGTGAGATCAATAATTGTCTTTCATTACTCTCCTATTGCTGAAGATCATGCTTTTACACTGTGTATCCCTGACAGTATTTTAACTCATTGCAGGAGGACTCTGCCCAGGCTCTAACGATCCCTGTCTGGAGAAGCCGTGTCCAGGGGACATGCAGTGTGTGGGGTATGAAGCTAACCGGAGACCCTTCATCTGCCAGTGCCCACCAGGAAAGCTTGGCGAATGCTCAGGTGCATGTTAAAGGGGGTTGTACTGTAACAACAAAGTGCTGCCATTCTCATGGTGTAGGTAGAGGTGCCACTGAAGTCAACAGAAGATGCACTGCTTAACCCTTGCCAGCACTGGCAGTTGGCTCACTGGTTTATAAACCCTGGAAAAAATGTGGCTGTGAAGGTGTAGGAAGCCCATGATCCAGTTTCCGTTGGAAGACTCCCACTGACTTGGTTGAATCCCAGAATTGTAAAACAGGCTGCTAAGAAAACAAGACTTTTCCTAGAGACTGTTACACCAGATGTTTTCCTGCCATGGGCAAAACCTTATAATTAACTTTTCTGCTTACAATTTAGATTACCAAAATTCCAGTCTTTATTAATGAAAACACCACACCATCCCAAAAAGAAAGTTTCAGGACATTTGTTAGTTCTTTCCAGCTATGTCATTCCCTGGTATACAAAGAGTCAGGTGGAAATATGGTGAAATGGAGCTTTCCATTGTCTTCAGTGAATCCAGGGCTGCATGATAAAGGACGTGCTATTTCCCTGATGAAAACACAGCAGATGCTGAAGGGTATCACTGTGGTCCTTGGCAGTGGTTGCAGGGAACTCATTGCAAGGATTTGGATGGCATCTGCTCACACCTAACTTTATACCCATAACTCAACTGCCCGATATACAAGCGTGGTCGTCTTTGAGTAGGGACCTCCAGGGGTGTATAACATTAAACATGCTGAATACTGGAGAAACCTCTCTTTTTTATAAGTATGGAGAAATAGAGCTTTCCTCCACCCCTTGAAAAATCATTTTCCCCCAAAATACACCATGTTTTTGTAGTATGTGACAGATTTTTTTCCTATTTGAGGTTTATTTATTTTTTCTTAGATGTTCTCATTAGCTCTATAAATTCTTTAATTAACTTGACAGTTGAGGAATTATTTCATGTATCACTAAAAGAACATGTGTCTTTTCAAAATGTTTATTTCAGGCCACACTTCCCTTAGCTTTGCTGGGAATAGCTACATTAAATACCGGGTTTCTGAAAATAGCAAGAAAGAGGAATTCAAGTTGGCTCTCCGTCTGCGAACGCTGCAAAGCAATGGGATTATCATGTACACCAGAGCGAATCCCTGCATAATTCTGAAGGTAATTAAAATAACTTATCTTTTCCACAGTTGTTTTCCTTGATTATATGTTTTCTGTTGGCTCTTGATTTGGGGAGTGCTGTTCTCATTTCAGCTGTAGATTGAGAATATAAGATGATGTCTGATCTGTTTCATGCTAACAGGGAAAAACAGCAATTGCGACAACGGCAGCAACAATCAAAAAAAGCTTGTTAGTGGTACTTTACTTGGAAAATGCTCCATTGGGCACTGTTCATTGTAAGAACATTATATGTGTCTGCATGCAGGAGCCAATCTGCACGAGATGTAAGATTTGGCCATTTAGATGACCATATAGTCAAAACGATGCATGCTGAAATAGCTGTTCTTCCCCAGTGTCCGTGCCTGTGGTTAGAGGATATGCCCTCACTGCTGTCAAGTTAGTTCCAGAAACCAACTGCTTAGGGTGTGTCCCCTACTGATAGGAAGATCAGAGATAGCACTCAATAATTAAGATTATTTGTCCAGAGTGACACGGGGTAGCTGGGGACTGATATCCAATCAATATTTAATTGATAAGCTCTCCATGCATTTTCATTCTTTGTGGGTTTCAGTCAAATGGCAAATATTTTCCGGATGGAAACTGAGTCCTAGGCTTATCCAAGAGCCTGCATGTATAGTATTTCTGCTAGAGCCTCTAAGGTACAAAACGAAGACATTGACTTTTGTAACTCAGCCATGCCCTATAATTCAGCAGAGGGAGAAATGGCACAGAGCCTTTTGTGTCTGTATTTGCAGTCTTTAGAGTCCTTTTGGCTGAATGCTTAGGTAATGTTAAAATGGTTAGATGAGTTATTAATGGGCAACAAATAATTTTATAGCTGTTAGGCTGAAATATTTCATGAGGAGGAGTACTGTCTGTCATTCACTGGGGACTCTCAGCCTTGTTCAGATTTCCACAGGACAATTAAGCTGTGCTTTGAGACACGTAGAAATGCACAGTTTGAACTTTTCAGCATACTTCTGTGTTCAAATATACCAAACAAAATTGCAGGCTTGAAGACCTTTATTGAGGTCTTCATCGTGGTTGCTCTTAGCATATGTCAGTAGGTGTTCTTTGCAATTTTGTAGTTTTGAAAAATGCTTGGAAAAGAACAGATGGCCCTTGTGAAAGGTGCCACTTGAAAACAATAGGAGATGACATGGAGGCAGACTGAAATGGAGTTAGAATGATGATAGGAGAATTTGTTTTGTTGGAGTTTAGTTATAAAACTGTCATGATTAAGGAGTACAGCAGGTCAGGTCATAGGCAACTGAGTGGAAGTCACCTGCTGAAGCTAGGAAATTTTGCCACCAAAAGAGAAAAATTCATGCTATTACAAAACAATAAATAAGAGAGCCCCTCATTGCAGTCACCTGGCCTGAGTTTTATTTGTGGGACAGGAACTATGTGTTTTCAGTCACTGCTTCACACAATAACTATTTTGCTTAGGAGGAAAATACAATACTTGAGCGACCAGATATTGCAGCAGCTGCTCTGCTCTGATCTGAGAGGCCAACAACCAGGTTGTGCTTTTTTTTGCTTTCTAACTCTAAGAAAGAATTTCCAGCTCTGAACCCATCTCCTGCGGCACTTACTAGAGCACTTGAGACACAGCCGATGCCTCACGTATCTGGTCGGAGCGGTCCAGAGTCTTGTATGCAGTGTTACAAATGCAAGGGCTCCACTTTCTCCCATGCATTGTGCAGGGAAGGACACAGGGAATTCCTTTCCCAGAGCCTCATGCTTGACTTTTAGGTAAGGCAGGATTTGCTGTTGCAGTGGGTATGTGCTTTTCCCAGGTCTGGCCCTTGGCTTCTATAAGCAATAGGGCTTAAAGAAAAGTGTTACATTCAGCATGGAATTTTATAGAAATGGCATCATTTAAAAGATCAGGAATTGCTAGAATTTTGCTTGTGAAGGTCATTTAGAAGAGGAACATCAGAATAAGGTCTCACAAAGACCTGCTCTATGGCAGATGAATGGTGTTATGCTCAAGGGATGCAGCCATAGCAGGTCCCTTCAGGGATGGCAGCTGACTCATGAACTGCATTTTGAGGGTGCCCAACTGAGATGCTTTCCAACAAGTTACCCTTAAAATTTCTCATCATATGGTTTTTTCATTTGTAAACCAGAGGTAAGGCCTTTGGGGTTTTTTGGTTTGGTTGGGGTGGGGGATTGTTTGTTGTGGTTTGGTTTGGTTTGGTTTTTTTTTTTACCAGGTATGTATGTATGTTGTGAGATAGGGAAGAACTCAGAAATGAGGCCATTAAGTAGATTAATTAGAGGTCTATAAATGTGAAGTTGTTATCATTTGAGCATTGCTTTCAATTAAATTAAACACGAGGAGAAGCTTTCCAAATAGAGGATAAAGGATGGGATCTTGTGCTCTTTTGAGCACTCTGGCATCACTCCAGCAAAGCACTTAATCACTTGCTTAACTTCCTGTATTTGAAAGCAATTGGAACTACACACATACCTTAATTTTAAGCATGTACTTAAATATCTGCTGGATTAGCACCAGAGGGCCCAGCACCACCACTGAGCTCCAAACAAAGGCAGAGGTGGAAGAAATTTAGACCTACCACATAGTATGAGCCGGTGGGAGAACAGGCAGAAAACCCCACCACTGTTGGGGCATAGAGTGGCACTGAGGTTTTTGAAGCAAGTCTCCCCCGTAGCAGTCTATTTAAGAATTAATGTTGCAATATGGTTTTCAGTGTTTAAATGACCAACTTAATTTTGGGATCTCATACATTTGTGATAACTCCAGGGATGGAAATATTTCATAGCTGTAACATGGTGTCCTTCTTGGATGAATAATCAATTCCATAGAGCAAACTGCTTGTCTACTACTTTGCTGAAAGCCTACCAGCACCACTGTATTCATACAATATAATAAGGGTGTTATTTATTCAGCTGTTTCGAATAAAGCAACTCATCCATCGATTTTGAGAGGTTGGCCATTTTTTTTGTTGCATGCTCTTGCTTTTAAGACAATTGGAGCAAAATGAGATGCAGGTCGATGGCCTTTTTCTTCTATTTTTTTCTTTAAAAGATTACATGTGCCAATAAAAGTATCACCATTTCCTTTTTCCGATGTAGCATGTATCTGGGAGAAGTAAGATTTAACCACTTTAAAGCATTATGAGGCCACTGCAGATGACAATTCCACAACTTACTTATTTTTTTTTCAAGGACTATAACAGAGATGCAACTTGTTTCATGAAATTTAAAGGATTAAAAATAGGTAAAGAAAGACTTTCCAATCATGCCAGAAATATAGCTTTTAAATGGTAAAAGGCAAGCATATGTTCTTCTGTCCAGGCAGTTAATGTGAAACTTTGCATGGTTTAGCTAAGTGTATATTATACATTTTAATGCATTACTGCTGCGTGGCTTATGCTGGATAACACTGAAGCTTGGATATGATCCCAGTTATGGCTGGAGTTGAAACAAGTAATATTTTAATTAAATACACCGTTTTACACAAACGAACCTGAAATGCAATTCGGCTAACGACATATTTCCCCAGATAGATTAGTAGGCAGCAGGCTGTACCCACGGTGTGTGACTGCAGATGGACTGTGTGAGCCTAAGGTGGTCTCGGAAGAACCATTTGATCATTTTATTACCTATGTTGATACACAAATATGGATGTTAGCCAAACATCTTAGCCAGGCTAATATTCTAATATAATTTACAGTATGTATTTGGCTCCATTTTGCTCATTGAATGAAACTGCTGAAATGTAACAGATTGCATCAGCTTTTGGAGCCTATTCTCTTCTTTGTATTTCTGTACAGGTGAGGAATTTTCTGTCTTGTACATGCTCAAGTATGCATTAACATCCCTGTCCTAGTAGTTATAATGAGAGATGCTGTAACTAAGTGCAGAAAGCTCGGAGAGGTGGAAGCTTGGTGGAAATGGCCTACCCAGCTAGGAAGAAGCAGCGTCTCTGCTTTCATCCTGGTGCAGAGGGTCTCTGCGGGCCCTGTGGGCTGCATTCGTGAGGGGTTGCAGAGATGGCATGCCTCCGCTGTGCCATGGAGTAACTCAAGCCCTCACATAGCTGGAGAAAAAAAGCAATGTCACGTACTCAGTTCCAAGCTGAGTGTGTGATGCTACCAACCCTCAATGCAACTAGTCATCCCACTAAGGTTATTGCCTGGATAACTGCTGAGCCTGGACAACAACATGGGCCTTTCATTGGATTTACATACTGTTTCCTTGAATGTACCTCATTACCGAGAAGTTATCTTGAAGTTCAGCTTTACTTGGTACCAGAGTCCAACCTATAATCCAAGAGAGCCGTTTGAGGATTATACAGTGTCCCTGACATCACTGCAGTTACAGCGATTCACAGGAACACCAGGGATTAATTGCTGAATCAAAGATCCATGGTTGAATTCTCCATGCTTAGGCATGTTGAGCAAAGGACCCTTCTCCTCCCTGCCTGGCCAGCCTAGCTGCTGGTAGGCAAGACAGGAGCCCTTTGCAACCCAGCTCCTCATGGGCTGTTCCTCCTCTTCCTCCTCCTTCTAGAGGCACAGGACCAGCAGCAGACAGATATTTCCTCCCTGTCCCACTACAGCAATGCCTGTGACCATCTGATTAATGGAAGTATTTTTATGGTCCCATAGCTAGGAGTATCTGGGCATGTCACGGTCTTTAACGTATGTATCCATAAAGCACTGGTGTGAGGTAGGGAAATGACGTTATCCCTTTTACTGATGGAGACCTGAAACTAATGGCTTGCTTGAGATCCCAGAGGAAGGGGATTGCAGAGTGTGGATTCCCATGCATATCTATCATATCTTAGGCTCATACTGTAAGCATCAAACCATCCTTTCCATCTTTCACTCTAGCCTAAGGTGGAGGTTACTAGTGCTTTTTTAATAAAAGGAAGGAAACATAGTCTTTCAGACAATATGTTTTTACTGTGTATGTCAGATCATCTGCTGGTATAAAGAAGAAAAAGTGCACAAGATGTATAAAACATAACTTAATGGCAAATCTTTTAGATCATCGTTTCCTGTATACAAATGGTGTAATATTTATCCCAGGTGCTCATATGTGATGTGGTATTTATAAAGATAATTGGAAAAGCATGTTCTGTGAGTAAGGGTAATAGACATGCAGGCAGTAGGTCCTTCAGGGTGTAAGTAGTCTTAGGGGAGGTATATGTATATTATACAGAGTCAGTAGAATAGTTTCCATAGGAAAAAGCCTTTTGAATAAGAAGTAAGCTAACCGCTTATCCTGTGATGGCTGTTTCTCAGTGTAATATGTTGGCATGTATTTTTCTCTTTGATTTGTACTCCTGCTGATCCAGACCACACTTTCTGAGAAACGCTTTCAAGGTTTGTGGACTATTTTGTTGCACAGGGAGAAAGAAACTGGTGCTCCATCTCTGGAGAGAAACCAGCTCAGTTTATCAGGGCATGTTGTTTACCGAGATTCCCCTGAGCAGATGTTTTAATAGGCCCAATTTCAATCTACAGGAATAGTTTACAACTGAGTTTTGAGTCCTGTAAGAAAAGATTTTTTAATGAAAAATTATCCAGACTTACTCTTCTATACATCCATTAGCCTTTTTTGATTGAGTACCAAGCAGCATCCATCCCTCAAGCATGTTGTATTACAATCATAGATCTCATTTCTTCTCAGTTTCATTCCATCCTACAGGTCAAGGACTTCAAAAAAGCCAGCTGCCCATAGCAAGGGCTAATTCTAGCTCTTCTGGCTCCTTCTACATGTGCATCCCTCTACACCCCTTGTGCCATGCAGAGTAAGTAGGTAGCTGGCATTTACAGGGAGCTTGTCATATGCTTGGTTTCTCTGTGTCCGCCCTGTCCAAGCAATTCCAGAGCAGTGGAGTGGTGTGGTTTACACCCCAACTACCCAGTGTGACTTGGCTTGAGGTTACAGCCCAGTTCAAATTCAGCTGCTCAAGAGACAGGGGTCTGGAAAAGAGAAAGAATTCCAGAGATCATCATAACTCACAAGTTTTTACCCTTAGCTTTTCTCCAGGTAGTTTTGTGAACCTCAAAGGACAGTGAAATACTGATAATGACACGACAGCACAGTCTGCTCCTGTGGATTAACAACATCCCATTTACTTTCAGGCCACATCAGAGCCTGGCAGAGAAGAGTTTGAGCACACGTTCAGATGCATGCCAAGGGATGTCTCTAGCTAACCCAGTTTTAAATGAGTTTTCTTGCCAAAAATAGCAAAAAAATTTCCAAAGACGAGTGGACACACTGCAGCATCACATCTGCCTTAGCCATACCAGTTCAGTGGGCCACCAAAGCTCTGGGGTGTTCTTTCACTGACAGCCGTGGTAACTCTGCTCTGCTGGAGGAGAGCAGTAGGGTTGTGTTACAGATAAACCAGTGAGAGTACAATGTGCGCTGCAGGGAAAGATGAAAAAGGACACAGCTCCTGAACTTTTCAGGGGGATAAATAATGGGACAGCACTGTCTTGAGATGGGGTTTGCAGAAATAAATACTTCCTAGACCATGACATAAAGGTAAAATAATTGCAAGAGCTTTCGGGGAGCTTGAATCCAATTAATGTGTCATAAGAAATTATTTCCAGCCTTGTCAGCCATTTTAAACTTATCTGCCATCTGTTAGAGAAACCTAAAATCTTTGGGTAAACTGCTAATCAGGAATGCACTTCATACCTATTCCCTCACTGCATTTTGCTTGCACCAGCAGGCTAGAACAGATTTTTCCTTTATGAGGACTTAAGATGGGTGAGGGGCAGGAGGGAGAGTAAGAAATCCTAACAATCCCTCTGAAGCCATGAACCCAGCATAAATCTGAGGAAAGAAAGAAAAGTAGGAGCCATCTTATGTCATCTGTGAGGTAGCCACAGAGCATGTAGTATAGCATCCTTGGAAAATTACTCTTGGTCAACCAGAATCTTACTGTTGTACTTAAAGAAAACTAAGGATATTAGGGACAAATCCACACCTCTCCGAGATGCTCCAAAAGGTTACAGAGGCCCAGGGTGTAACATCCCCAGCTGAAAGCAGAGGCCATTGACGAGAGGGGGTCCCTTGCCCTGGCTGGTACCTATCCTGGATCCTACCTGTCTGGTAGCATCAACCAGCGGTAGCAGAACCGCAGCGCCTGGCTGGATGGTGGGACTGGCTGAGAGGGACATGACCGCTTCGCAGCAGAGCCACGAGCAGGACAGGTGGCCTCCTCTCCATGCCCTGTTCAGTGACACCTGTCGTTATCTCAATACTCACCTGTGTTCTGTATTTTTTCTGTATTTTCATTTTGCCTGCAGTAACTGGCTTTGGGTAAATTCTAAGTAGGCTGATACTTATCGCCTTATGTGTTTTTGCTGATGACAAAGGCACAGATTTTGCTATTTTAGCATGATGTAGGAGAGCAGCTTTAACACCGTAGAGAGATTTTCTAAAGTCCTCTGTTTCCAGATGCTCCGTGACAGCGTATTACGAGACAGCTGAGTGCATGAAGCGCTTTGATTTCTGTTTCCCTCCCACAGATTGTCGACGGCAAACTGTGGTTCCAGTTGGACTGCGGGAGTGGACCGGGAATCCTGGGAATTTCTGGCAGAGCCGTTAACGATGGAAGCTGGCATTCGGTCTTCCTGGAGCTGAATCGCAATTTCACAAGCTTGTCCCTGGACGACAGCTACGTGGAGCGCCGCAAAGCCCCCCTCTATTTCCAGACGCTCAGCACCGACAGCTCTGTCTACTTCGGGGCCCAGGTCCAAGTGGATAACGTCCGCAGCCTGACCGACAAGAGAACGACGCAGGTCTTGAGCGGCTTTCAGGGCTGCCTGGATTCGGTTGTCCTGAATAACAACGAGCTGCCGCTCCAGAACAAGCGCAGCAGCTTCGCGGAGGTGGTTGGCCTGACGGAACTGAAGTTGGGCTGCGTCCTGTACCCCGACGCCTGCGAGCGGCACCCCTGCCAGAACGGCGGCACCTGTACCAGCGTGCCGTCTGGCGGTAAGCGCCTCCTATTGCCTCACGGGTACCCCCCACCCCGAGTTTTCCTCTACAACTTATTGCCAGAGATGGTTTTATGCAGCAACGCGCTTGAAAAATCTCACGGACACTATAAAACTCTGATAGCTATTGCAAATTGTGTAAAAGCTGTTTGCTCTATAAATAACGGTGAAACGGTGCCCCTTCTCATTGCATTAGTGTTCCAGGAGGAAATGGATTTATTGGCTGTTAGGATAATCCTATTTCTATAGAAACCAATAGAATTACAATTACTGTAATGCTCAGCTGGATTTTTCAGGATCCATTTACAGCATCGGAGGCTGTGCACGAGGATGGTGTTTCAAACGTCCATCACGGATGCAGTGGCACTGTTGCCTTTCTCTGTTTCTGAAGCTGTCACAAATAATTACTGACTTGTCCACAAACACCTTGGTCCTTCTGTGAGTGAGTAATTTGATTACATGTCTGCATGGAAAATAACGAGTCCGCCCCATTATAAACCCGCCGAGAATTGTATTTTACAGCTTCCTCGGATGCCTGAGCGCTTCAAGGTCTAGGTAATATTATCCAAAGTTTATAGGGTATTGATTTAAACTGTGCTCGTGTTGGAGTTTCCTATCCAGCGGTTATATGGTGGCTTGTGTGACTTGGTGCCAGTGACTTACTACCCAGTAGTAAGTGCACGAGTTACCAGACTTAAGAACAGTCAGCATCTTGGCAGGAAAACAATGAATGGCATACATGTAGGACCTTTCCTTCAGGGCTATTCTGTCTCTGCAGTGTACAAGTTTCCCTTCCAGTTACCCATATTGTATTAGCAGGCAGCATTGCTCATCTTTTCTGACAGATTAAATCTTCCTCCAAAAAAGGTGGCTGGCTAAGAGAGGTCTTCTGCAAATTCAGAGCTTTCCATCCACATACTGTCAATGGTTTTGGTCGGGGTTCCCTAGGAAAATTCCCGCTAAACTCTTTTTTATGGAGCATTTGCCCACTGTCCAGGACTTTCTGCTTTACTGTGTCCATGTAGTTCCCTTCTATCATAATTGCCATTTCTCTTTTTCATTGTTTTAAGCCTTGTTCTCTCATTTTCTCTCTGATAACCTTTCCCCAAGTAGATTTTTCTAAACTTTAGGAACCTCTTGAACTTTAGAACAGTTCAGTTTTCAAGGCTGAAATCTGGGGATAACCCTGCTCTCACAGAGTAAGCCTTGACAATGTGAATTTTCTGGTATGGTATCTCAGTGATCCTTGGCTTTGATTCAGCCACCTCTTCTCCCATGCCAGGGCGAAGGGTACCTCAGGGGTGCTATCGGCTTTGCTGTTGGTGGAAGGAGATGGGAGGACAGTTGGAAGGAATGAAATATAGCACTTTTGAGCCAGGATGTGATGTGCAGCACGAGGACAAATGTTGCTGCTCGTGTGTGTTGTTAAGAGTCTTTATTTACGAAGGAAAGGAAGAAAATGAGTGCTGCACAACAAGGGCAAAAGAAAATCATTCTGAGGCAGAAGGATGCTGCAGCCACTGAGGGAATTGCAAAGCAAAATTATTTAAATCCCCAGGAGATACTGTTGTAATATGTACGTGGACATAATGTGGTTGTGATTCAGACTCCATACCTAGTAAATGAGGCGAACCATTTGCCAAGCTAGCATCCCAGGAAGCATGAGAACAGCTCCTTCTATTGATTTCATTTGTGTCTATTTACAGTATTGCTCAGCAATCTCGTGATGAGTAAATTGAAACCTTTCTAAGGAAATGCTTTAGAGCACTTCTATTTTTTCCCATGTCATGCCAATTCAAACTGAGGGGAGCAGTGGGGCAGAGGAGAAACCGGCAGCACTGTAAGTTGGACCCATTTTATTACTGGAATGGCATGCACCACTTTTACGTCAACATAATTTGCTGCTGGAAAGCAGTCACAGAACTGATTTAACTTGCCTGCGTTCCTGCCTCGGCGAGGGGGCACGTGCCCTGCGGGGATGTTTCAGCTGCCTGCCGTTAAAAAATCTGTTTGCTGTTTTTACTGCCTCAGCAGTGTATGTAAATAAAGGATTGTTATAAAGCCATAATTCCGGCGCAATGGGCCCTGACTGTATGTCGGTGGTTCTGCAGCCCAGCCCACATGGAGAAAGCAAAGGCATTTTTGTTTCCACCAGGCAAAGTGATTCTGTTGGTAGTGTCTTCCATATGTAAAAAGGCCACATAATTAAATTCCATAGAGCAGAGAGCCCAGCAGCATTTCAAATGCTAGTTGTGGAGCCACAAATTGCAGCGTGCATTTAAGAACCATCAGCCATTGTATTCGCTGACATAGATGCTAGCTGCTGACTTTCCTTTAAAATAGAATAAAAAAGTAATAATTTAATTTTTTATCATAAGAAGAAACATGACATCTTCTTCTTTTTTGATGGGGGGGAAAGTATTAAGAACTATACCATGCAAAGGTCCTTTCCCGAATCCCTCCAAGGGCATTCAGTAAGCATCAGGATCTCTTGATTAAGATTTTCTATGATATTACCCTCCTATTAATGTTTCTGAAGAGTAGCATTCCTTTTCCTAAACTGAGAGTATTTGGCATAATGGCAGGATTTGTTTTAATGAATAAATCCTCTAATTTGAATTTTACAGAACAGATTTCATATACTGTTAACATGCTTTTTCTTACAAAAACCCTACTGTGCTTTACAAGGAAATTAAGAGAAAGAAAAAGAAAGCTCAGATTTATAGCTAACTTTAAAAGAAAACAGTCAAGCAAAGGTTACCCAACATTGTAACATGAAAGAGTTGCTGGCTCCATGCCAGAAATCAAAGGGGCCATGTCTAATTTACATATGATTTGCATAAATTGATCATCTAAAACACAAACTGCTGTAATAGTATTCCTGTTGTGGGCTCTTCCTTCCAACAGAAATTCCTACTGCCTTGTTCACCATGAATAAAGCTGCCTGCGATTACCTTCCACTTCATCCTGTGGTTATGGGAATAGGGTAATATTATGGCCCCATTTTGGGAGTTGCTAAAGCAATGTTCTGTATGCATTAGTAGTGTGTCCACGCTGCTGCTGTTAGGGTTCGTATGGGTGAATTGACAGCAACTTCCAAGTGCCTGGGGTATAGTGCGGTGCACGGGCTGCAGAGAGCTCAAGATATTGCCCCGAAAGGAGAGTTGGCACAGCGCTAGCATTCCCATGCTGTCTCCTTCTGTCTGACCTCTGCATATTGAACCGAAGGACAAATCGGGGATCTTAGCCCACAGGAGAAAGCATGGATAGCTCTGATGCTCTGAGACATCGCTGAGAGTGCAGAAAAACCTCTCTGCTTTCAAAATCTGGGTTTTTGGGCCAGCAGGCAGCAACTGTGACATGAACCTCTGCTTGCACTCACATGTTCCTACGGGTCCGAATCAAGTCGTGCAGCAGCAGTGTATGCCCAGCGTTGTCGGCAGTTAAAGCTCAGGCAAGTCCTAGCAGAAAGAGCTATATACAGCTTTAGGACAATTTTCTTGGAGACACTGGAAACCACAGACCTGGAATATAGGCCACATTCTTTCAGACTTTTCAGTCCCTACCCATAAGTACGGGTCAGTAAAACTATTTTTAAAGCAAGTTGTTAGCATTTTGAAACCTGACAAACAGCATGACTTTCAGAAACAGCTTGGCTCTTTGGACTGAAATTTCCCAAGGAAATTCAACCAAGTGTTTAAAGTGTGGTTAAGCTGCTGAATATGAGGTCTTAAAATGGGAAATGTCACACAACCTTAATAATAGAGTGGCGTTACCGTGTCTGCCAATAGTAAATGTATGTTTATCTGCATGAATAACAACATGAGCAATCACAGCAATAGAAGGGTTTACTGTAATCAGATATGAACACTGAGCCAAGCTTTTCAGCCACAGAGAGAAACCTCATGCTTGTAAAGCCTGCAATTATAAGTATAGTTACTTCCTTTTAATTTGATCAGTCCTGTATACATATGGCTTTGATTGAAGAAAATGGCTTATATGAATAGGCAATTTTATTTGAACATGAAGCATTTGAGCAGTAATATCTACTGAGTCAAGGACTATGGGCAGAGTATGAGGACAGAGAGTTGTTGCTTTCCACTCTCCTCATTTTTAGTTCTGTTCTTTTTTTTTTGTGAACACAGTTATAATCCAAAGAAGGGAAAAATGCAACCTGGCACTTAAGTGGTAGTTTGAATACATGTTTTAAAGCATGTTGGAAAAATTAATACATGGGTGTTTTTGAGGATTAGGTAGTTCGTGAGATGAAAATAGGAAAATAGAGTGTGTTAATACCATAGTCATGAACTGACCTGTTTGTACTGATGTTCTTGATCTTGCTTTTTCCAAAACACAAACAAACCAGCATGCTGTAATGTTATCATACAAAATGCACATCAGTTAATTTTTAAAAGCTTTTTCGAAATTTTGGGGAGTTTTAATCTTTTATAGCTATGCTTTTAAACATCTGCATTAAAGTTTCCAGTTTCAAAGCATATACATGCTAATTCTTCCATAGAAAGCACCATTTTAACGAAGACTGAAGTTCATTTTCATACCAGCTAGTGGCAAGAGGCAATCATCTGTTTGAAGTCAGATCTGAAGTGGCAAGAATATGTGAGTCTGAAGAACACCATTCTTGAAGGTGGCCTGGTATGTCTATAAACATACCAAAATACAAATGCTGGGAGAGATCCTCTTCAGCTTCAGTTCTCAGTTAACTTGCCATGAGATGCTACATGAGCAGGGCCAAGGGCAGAACTGTTTCTGGATATTGAGTTTGTCAGGTCTAGCTGCACAGCAGGGAAAGAAACTACATGGGGAGATCAAACACAAAAGCCAAAGCGCACAACAGATAAAAGCCAGATCCTCTTGCTTGTGCTAGATAGAAACAGGAGCATACACATGTTCAAAAAAGGACGAAGCACCCTCTTTAATAAGGCCAAGTAAAGCTGAGGATAGGCAGACATTCAGATGCTCAGGCTGGCAGCGCTACCAACAGAGACATTCACTGTGTGACAGCGTCCCATCTGCTGATGGCATCGTGCCCACCTTTTGCCACTGTCCTGCAAATAGGGACAGTGCCAAGCAAACACAGGTACAGGCAGGAAGCCTGTGTCGTGTCCTCACATCACGTTGCTCTTCGGCAAGGTCTGGGCAAAGAAATCCCCTTTCCTTTGGACAAAGGCACACCGAGGCAGGAAGAGCAGCTGTTGGAGTCAAAGTGAGAAGGTGAGGCTCACCTACATACAGGAGACTCAGATTAGTGGAGGAGCATGAGAGAAGCTTCATAAAACAACCAGAAAACCCAAGACTGTGTGGAAGCAGGAGAGGGCTATGTCTACATAATATTTTAGATCAGAAACAACCTTTAACCTGAATCTTCTGATCATTGCGTCTTGCCATCCTTCAGTTCCGCTGTGAAGAGGTGAGGTCTTGGAGGGCAGGACCAGGCTTCCCTCTGGACAGTGCTGAGCTGTAAGATGTGCACCAGGATTGTAGCTAATGAGATCCTAAAGCCCTGAAATGTGTGCATTGAGGGTGCTGTGTCCTCAGCACCAACTGTTTGCTCCACAGACCCACTGCGTTGCTGTGCAGGGCTGACTAATGTAGATACAGCCAAAAGGGCTGTATCGTTGCTCATAGCTTGTTGTTGCTCTTAGGTCGAGTGTTGGTACAGGCTGTTGTGGTACATGCTGAGGGTGTTGTGGTTCCACCCCAACAGCATTGCAGAAGTGTTTGCCGGAGCTTTCTATCTTTTTCCACTGGTTCCTTCTGAAGAAATACAGTGGTGACATCTGCTGCCTTGGAGAATGTAATTCAACATTTTCCAGCATCAGTGTGCAAAATGAAATATTTGTATCTTTTGGAGGGAACTCAGATGGACTGCATGATCTTAAATGTTGATGAATTTCCAAGACATTGTGAACAGGAGGAAGCCCTAGGTTGCTTGAAAGGGTTTTGTCATCCCCTACTGAGAGGACAGGGCACTTGGCCTTTTCTTCAGCTCTGTTGTCCTTCAGTGCAGGAAGTTTGCTTATTGTTTTCATGCTGAACGGGTGGGAAGAAATGCATGATAGATTACCAGGTTAATTAATTAAAAGTGTAATAAAAATCTTTGTTAGACCCAAGATGCACTTTTGACCAAAAGGCTTTTCTTTATGATTGCGCTTTGTCCGCGGCACGTGGCTACAGTGTGCAGTAGCGGGCAAAATTACAGCCTCGGCTGAGAGGTTTGGAGAAGCATAAAAGGTCTGGCAAGGCTGCTGGCCGAGTCGATAAATGCTGTGTACTGAGCTCTTCACTTCCCTACTCCATGAGTTTCAACATATGCTTTGCTGTGCTGGAGGCATCCCGGGTGAATGCTTTGCAGCTCCAAGCGTGTGTGTCATGGGAAAGTTCTTTGTCTGAGCCAGCAGCCCAGAGTTGGCAGGTGATGGCAGTGTTTCCAGCGGGAGGAAAAGTCAGTGATAAATACTGTAATTTAATACTGTCTTGTTTTATTGCCTTTTTATTTCTAACTTTGATCCCTAGACTTAGAATCTATGCTGAATATTTCAATATTCTAATATCTGACTGTGCTCCACCATCATTAAATCAAATTCAGTTGAAAATGTAGGCTTTCAGAAGCAGAATTTTTATTTGGGTCTTGTTTGGGCTTGTTTGGTCTTGCCCAATAGACCTCTGACCCATCTGGATCATTCAGTTTCATCTCCTCTTACTATAAAAAGTTAATTGAAGTTAGTTCATCTTTAATATAAAGAGTAGGAAATAATAATAATAATTAATAAATCTGTTTTCCTTTTATATTTGGTGGTAAAAAGATTTTTTTTTTCAATATAATCAAGATTTCTGAAGTTTTTTGCAGTGAGTAAACATAGCAGAACGTGTTAAAGAGTGAGAACCCAGAACTTAATCACCTGAAACAAATATAAAACATGAAAAGAAAGTGATTGAAAGGCTTTGTCTTACAAGTAATTGGCAACTTGTAACTTAGGTACAGAAAGTTGGTTTTTAAAGTCACTTTAAAGTTATCTAGTTTTCAGGTAACAAATAGAAGAATATATCCTGTTATTATATAAGGTAACAGATTTGTTTATGAATAAAGTGTTTTATATTTGAATTGAACATTTTCATTTCGCTTAAACTCATTGAGACCATAAAAAATATATAAAACATTACTGTAAATTTTTGAACTATAGATGTCACTGTTCAGTCATAAAATGAAGCACTGAAACAGCCTTATTTATTTCTACTTACAGTATTTCTAGATCAGCCACTTTGCCAACTAACAATAAATACGGTTGGCATCAAAATGCAGTGCTTACTGCAGGCATGGTTTGTAATTCTCCAGACCCAGATCTCTGCAGGTCCAGAAAGTTGTTCGCATTGTCAGAGATACGTATAGGACACCAAATAATAATCCGATGTTGCTGATGCTGACCAAACATGCTCTTCAGGAATCCTCAAAGTCAAATCATTTCTCTTCTTAAATCTGCAGCCTAGAAAACAGCAGGCTTCTATCTCCCTTCTTGTAGCAGGACAATGAAACAGCATGATATTTGAGTATGTATTTCATTTATCTTCAATTAAATAGGATTGGACTCTTGACTAAATATGCCAGCAAGTCTGGTTCCAAGTTTGTTCTCTAAAGCCTGTCCTCCTGAAAGAATGCAATTAGAGTAACTGAACTAGGTGAATTGAACCGGATAAGACATAAAAGATGTGGGAGTCTTAATGCAGAATTGCTGTTGCCTTGTGCACCCACTGGGGTTTTCCATATTTTTTCTGTGAAATTATTTCCCATGTAATTGTGCTGGAAATTCCTGCCTTGCTTCCTAGAACAGCAGCTTTTAAAATAAAATTTGTGGGGTTTTTTTAAATTTTTTTTAAATAAACATATAGAAAGTTTTTAAAAAGCTCACCACTGAGGGATGATATTTCAGCTACATCAGCTTAATCTTCAATGATTTTGACACAGAACTGAGTCATAGTTTCATAGAATCGTAGAATGGTTTGGGTTGGAAGGACCTTAAAGATCATCTAGTTAAAATTGAGTTGCATTCAACCATTTCATCTCCATTTCCATCAGTATTAATCATAGAATCATAGAATATTTTGGGTTGGAAGAGACCTTTAAAGGTCACCTAGTCCAATCCCCCTTGCAAAGAGCAGGGACATCTTCAACTAGATCAGGTTGTTCAAAGCCACATCCAACCTGGCCTTGAATGTTTCCAGGGATGGGGCATCCACAGCTTCTCTGGGCAACCTGTGCCAGGGTTTCACGATGTTATTGTAAAACATTTCTTCCTTATATCTAGTCTGACTCTACTCTCTTTTAGTTTAAAACCATTACGCCTTGTCCTTTCACAACAGGCCTTGATAAAAAGTCTGTCCTCATCTTTCTTATAAGCCCTTTCAGGTACTGGAAGGCTGCAATAAGGTCCCCCCGGAGCCTTCTCTTCTCCAGGCTGAACAAGCCCAACTCTCGCAGCCTTTCATCACAGCAGAGGCGCTCCAGCCCTCTGATCGTCTTTGTGGCCTCCTCTGGACTCGCTCCAACCAGTCTATATCCTTCTGATATTGAGGGCTCCACAGCTGGATGCAGCACTCCAGGTGGGGTCTCACCAGAGCAGAGTACAGGGGCAGAATCCCCTCCCTCGACCTGCTGGCCACACTTCTCCGGATACAGCCCAGGATACGGTTGGCTTTCTGGGCTGCCAGTGCACACTGCCGGCTCATGTTCGGCTTTTCATCCACCAGTACCCCCACGTCCTTCTCAGCAGGGCCTTGTTTCAGTTCTTTAATATACCACATTCAGCAAGTATGTGAACCCCATGACTGGAGTTTGAACCATTCCTACCCATCTGTTTGAGGCATTTAGATTGTGTAAGTAGTTTTTTAAAAAATCAGCTGAAAATTTTTACAGATGTGCAGGAAAATTTTGCTAGCTAAACATCTCTAATCTAGCAGTCTTTCCATCCCAGGGACTGCCTACATGTTCCTTGCTCTTTTCACATGTAAAAGCAGTCAGATTTCAGTATCCAGTTCACAATAGAAGGAGATGCACTGCCTCACTGGATTTCTTTGTGGCATTAAATTAAGTTTTTATTAATGGAATTCTGCAATATGAAATCACAAGGAAAGGGGAAAAAAAAAGAGACTTGTCATTTGATGCTTGGCACAGTGAACTCATGGGTTTAAAGCCTGTTTTTTACGCAAGTGTTGCTCCTTTGTTGGCAAGAAACATGGAAGTAGGACTTCAATCCCCTACAGGGTCCTCCTGTGCTTGAGTGGAGTTATGTCTGATATATTGCAGCCAGGGATTAATCAGTCTCTTATTAACACACTATGCACATAATCAGCTCTGATTAGGGCTTGCGTCGCCCAGTTCAGCTGGTATTATGAAATTCATAGTTCGGGCCTGGATGATGCGCTTTATGAAAGTGGTATTACTATCGAGTGTTCTATTACTGTCACATCCCTACTGTGTCATCCTTGCAAAGGCAGATGTGAAAAAGCTCTCAGCTCATGTATTTGTTCTTCAGTGAAGCCCAAAAATGGAGTGTGGGCTTCCACTATCAGCAAAATGTGTTTCTTTTCAAGAATATTGGGAGTTGCATCCTTGATGTAGAATATTTCTTGTGACCGAAGTTGTTCATGGATGACATTTATTCTTGCCTGAATCACGGCCATCAGGATGGTCTGAGCTGCAACTATTCCTTTGGTTTCCAGTTGTAGATGTGAGCTCCAGTTTTCCACACATCACAGATCAAACGTTGGACCGACTACACAGACATATGAGAATGAGTATTAACATTCCCTTTCCCCTACAGTAAAACTTTTCTTTTTTGAGTAAAGTTACAGAATGAATCCCCTTGTTTCTAGACAGCTACAGTGGTAGGTTTCTGATTTATTTCTCTGTGTCATTCACTTCCCAGGCTACCAGTGCAATTGCCTCTCCCAGTTTACGGGAAGGAATTGTGAGTCAGAGATCACAGCCTGCTTCCCAAATCCCTGCCGGAATGGAGGCTCATGTGATCCCATCGGCAACGCTTTCATCTGCAACTGCAAAAATGGCCTGACGGGAGTAACGTAAGTGACCCGCCCCGGGGTGGGGAGCGGGAGCTTTTCAGTTCAGTGATGGCGGGTTTTTTGATCAGGCATTTTGTACCCAAAAGTTATGATTCGCCTAGCAAAAAATTCAAATAACCCAAAATTCAGTGCTTCTTTCAAGTCTGAGCTAATGACAGCTGAGAAATCCATGAGGCTTGCATGTTCACAAATGCTTTTCTGAACTTGGCCTCCTAAATTACTCTTTCAGGATGTTATGTCCAGACAGTTTTCTCTGATATGCACACCTAAATGTGTACTTTTTGAGCAATCTCATGAAGACTGTGGAAGCTGCTATGTAATCCTTTTTTTTTTAAATGGATCAATTATTTCATCAGCTTAGCCCTGACATAAAAGCCTAATTTATTGCATTCATTTTTTAAAATCCAAGCCTTGATCATATACTTGGTGTAGAAACATAAAACCCCCTGACCTGCCCATAGACATGCTTTATTTAGGTTGTCTCCTGTTTATAGTTTTTGTTCTGCCCTCTTTTGATCACCTCTTCTTCTTTTCAATTCTCCTCACTCTTTAAGGTGCCTGTTCTTTTTTTTTCCCCTGCTTCTCTAATATTTACCCATTTTATGTCCAGCCCTAAATAATTTTAAACAGTTAGTATATCCACCTCTTCTCTCAAATAAGTACTATGATTTTTTTACTATAGTTTTTCTCAACTATTTTGTCCTTGAATCCTCCTAAGTTTTTTTTTTTTTTATTGAATTCCATGGGATGGTCCAGAAACGATGTAAAAAGGCTGAGATTCTCTATGGCATTTAATTAGCCTCATGAGGGTCCAGGAATCTTTTCCAATCAGATGCTTTAAAGACCTATTTCCTTCTTGATGTTTCCATTTTATTGTCTTAAAAAGCCATGGAATATCTGTAGAAAAAGCAAACAAACAAACCCCAAACATTAAATAGTACGATAATAATAAGATCATTTGCCAAGCACCAGAAAAATGCAAACTGTAATGGTACCACTTTGACAAGATTATGTGCAATCTCGGCTGTTTGCTAGATGTTCTCCAAACTCCTAACTCTCCTTTTCTTCTTTGAAGGTGTGAAGAAGATATCAACGAGTGTGAAAGAGAAGAATGTGAAAATGGGGGCTCCTGCGTCAACATATTTGGTTCATTTCTGTGTAACTGCACCCCTGGCTATGTGGGGCAATACTGTGGTCTTCGCCCTGTGGTGGTTCCCAATATACAAGCTGGGCATTCGTATGTTGGCAAGGAGGAGCTGATAGGAATAGCCGTGGTCCTCTTTGTCATATTTGTGTTGATTGTCCTCTTTATAATTTTTCGCAAGAAAGTTTTCAGGAAGAACTATTCCCGCAACAACATCACGCTCGTACAGGATCCGGCTACTGCCGCCCTGCTCAACAAGAGCAACGGCATCCAGTTCAAGAACATCAGGAACAGCGGAGACAGCAGAAATATCTACCAAGAGGTTGGGCCTCCACAGGTCCCGGTGAGGCCAATGGCCTATACCCCATGCTTCCAGAGTGACTCGAGGAATAACCTGGACAAGATAGTGGATGGGCTTGGTGTGGAGCACCAGGAGATGACGACGTTTCATCCTGAGTCCCCTCGAATACTGACAGCCAGGCGGGGAGTGGTGGTGTGCAGTGTGGCTCCGAACTTGCCCGCTGTGTCTCCCTGTCGCTCCGACTGTGACTCCATCAGGAAGAGCACATGGGATGCTGGGACGGAAAGTAAGTACCACTGCATGCCAGTCTTGCTCTTCCCTGCCTTCAAGGTGCCACAGGTACTCTTAATGCTCCAACCTCATGCACTTACAGTTGTTACAGTTCTCCAAGAAGTGATTCGGTTTAATTCTGAAAGGTTATAATTAAACGAGGCGTACAAAACCTCTATTTCTATGCATTGAGTATGACTAAACGCGTTTATTTCACTTGTTCAGAAAGCACATATGAGTAAGTGCTCTGAGCGTTAGCTCTTCAAGTGATACAATGCAATCATCTTTCTACTGAAAAAATAATTTGGGGCAGAAATCTCAAATATAAACTCAGCTAGGTTTGGGCAGTTTATCTCCTGGGGCAGCTAAACTTTCAGCAAGAAGCAATTGTGTTTTGCAACAGAGACAAATGAACTAATATTCTCTACTTCCACTGTCTATGAAATTAAGCAGAAAATGGTGGACTACTTGAAGGATCACCCTTTCAGTCCATTGCATTCCCAGCTGCACTCAGTACAAGTGATCAGTTTCTGATCCCCACACTTACCACGTTCGTGCTCTGGTGGTTTCTCAGCTGATAAACACATGCCCCTTTCCCAAAGAACTTGCTGGAGATGCAGCAAACTTCACATAGCAGGAAATACCAGTTTGCTGGGACAGAGTTACAGCCCTACATTGTCTATCCGTGCAAGTCAGAAGGTGTCATATGGACTGGGATGTGTTTGCATTAGCATACACGGGATTTTTATGATGTTTGATCTTTTTAGTAGCTTTTCCTACTGCATCTTCAACCCCACTGCAAACACAGCCTTAACCAAATTAAAATTCCACGATCCAGAAACTTTCGTAGTCCCATAGTCCTAGGCAATAGGAACTGAGGAAAGGAGAGGGTAAACTGGCACTGCCTCATACCTGTGTCCTGACCTACACATTTTTATCTAAGACAGCACATTGGCTAAGGTCTTCTAGTGAAAAACAGGAATTAATTTTAATTTCTTTGGGCTGTTTTTCACAGTTGTGTTGTGGTTGACCTTTTTAACCATTAAATATAGTTTTGCCGATTGAAAGCATCAGCATGGCAGCCCCCATACGTGCTGTGTTCTGTATTCTCCTGGGTGTTTCTGCCACAGACGCTGCTGGTCTCTGTATGAATTTCTGCACAGCATGAGGCCACACCATGGAGACGGACCTCAGCTGTCAAGGAGCGGGAAGCAGCATGGCTTCGTTACTGCAGAGCTCGCTCCATCTACTACATACCCTGCTTCTCAGCAGGGGCAAATCAGCCCCCACTGTACGGATGTGCCCCATGCTGGGTAGGAATACCTACAGCTAGCAGGTGGAGAGCTGCACTTAGGTGTTTGCAGCACCTGAGCTTGTTCTTTTGTAATTAGCTCCCTTATCTATCCCAGTGCTTACTGTGGAGGCTAACTATTTGTGTTCCTTATTATCAGTGATATAATGTGTAGTTGAATGTGTTTATTCATGTGTGTTTAATTACATGAGAATTTATACCATAGGCTGTAGTTACATTTCTAAACTGTAGAAGCATTGTCAGGACTGAATGTCCCTGATGAAAAGCAATCTAAATTGAAGCATAGTCTATTATTTGTCAGTGGTGGAGCCGTTAAAACCTGATCCGAGGGCCACTGATATGAATAAAAAGATGCACAATCAGTTTATTGAGCATTGAATGAGCCTTTAATGAGGCTCTCAAATTAGGAAATGAACAGTAAAGATAAATGTAACTGTAATCCCTTGTATAAGATGTTTATACCACATGTTTTAAGTCATCATTTTCTTTGCTGCTGACTACATGTCATCTGAGAATGTAATACTGAATACAGATGTTTTTCTTCCTTGCTTACAGTGGTGTCAGCCACTTGAAAGGCTCTTTGGCTTCAAACACTTCAAAAGTCTAGGTACCTTCATCAGCTGCCTTCTTGACCAGCAGGTCATTTCCTCTGTATGAAGGAAAAAAAAAGTATTCTGACAAAAATCACAGAAGGCTACTGGTTGGCAGGATTTAAGTGGCTCTGTGGTATAAATAGACAAATGTACATACCTGGAGAGTACCATTTTGCTTTGTTTTTGCTGTCAATGAAGGTAAAGGGATTGATGACGCTGAAGAAGTGACCTGTTTTGCAGGAAGTAATAAAGGCAGCAACTCTGAAGTACAGTCCCTCAGCTCCTTCCAGTCTGATTCTGGTGATGATAATGGTAAGAAATTAATTTATCTTTATTATACTTGGGACAAAGCTTTTTAACTCTCTCTCTAATATTATTAAAAACAATTGGGTGACATCTAGAAAAGCCTTTACCAGTGATCGAAGTCAGAAAGGCTTGGGCTCAAAGCCTCATTTGTGGCTATTTTTTTTTAATTATAGGAATATAATTAAAATCTTGATGCTTGTGAATTAAAGGTGTGATACAGCAAAGTCATGTTGCCAAGATATAAGTTGGTTGACTAGTAGGTTGCAATTGAAACTAAAATTTCTATCATTTTCCCTCTTGGAAGAGGATGACTTCCATGTTTCATCAGTCAAATTAAAGGGAATTTCTGTGCTGTTTGCCTGTGTCATTCGTGGTCCCAACAAAACTGCTGATGCTCAGCAGCAGGGGTGAGCAGATGAGCCTGTCCCTCGTGGCTTGGCCTCTCCCTGGCAGCTCAGCGAAGAATAAAGCAACATTAAATCCATGCTTGGTGCATGTTTGTTGCTGACTCTCATGTCCTACAGCATTATTTCAGTGAGTGTCGTGGGCAGAGCCATACACAGCCTGAAAGAGGCCTACTAAATGAGAGAAAACCTTTGTTCCTACGGCTCATGTATGTTGAGCGGTGGGTCTGAGAAAAGGCAAGATGTTTCTGCCAGAGGGGGATGATGGATGTCAGGGAAACCTCATTCAGATACACAGAAAAAGATTAGCGCAAAGAAATTGTACTTCGTTTCCTCAGCCGCCAGTTAATGAACTGTCTGGAGACACAGTTCCTCAGTCATGTCATTCAGCTCTTCCCTAGGTACTCCTAAATGTTGGAAAAAGCACTTAAAGCAAAGTACACTTGCAGTTCCTTTTGGTTTAGCTGTGGCTGAAGTATCATGAGTATTTTTGTCAAGTTTCTCAGTGCTGTTCTGCCCCTGCATCCCAAAAAATAACTTGTGTTTTTTAGAATAATTATTAGAATTATTTCAATAATATGTATTTGTATTATAATTACCCTTTGACTAAATATTCAGGTTGTCATTTATTGCACGTGGTTACTTTCTATATCCTCCAATTTCTAATTAGGCTTTTGAAACATTTGATCCTGCCCCATTTAAATCAGTGACACCGTACCCACTGAAGCTGGATTGGACCTTCGGTGCTTGCTCATTTTTTGTGAAAGCTGCATTTAAAATACGGCCTTTAGAGATAACAATGCTGGTTCAGTGTCTAAACAAATCCATATCTTCAGGGAGAATGAGGGAAGAAACAGAGATCAGTGCAAGAATGCAGGCTCTTGTTTTCTTGCAGCAGCAGTGCTGTTTGCAGTGAAAGAACCTAAAATATAAATACAGCATAAGTAAGCTTATACATGCTCACATACACGTACGTAAGGGCTAACAGATATCCCTCTTGAAGCCATAAATACTTCCCCTTCCTGTCATTTTAATTCTTTGTGTTTTGCATCCCTACAAAGGTTAAAAAGTTGTCAGTGAAACCACAACAGAAGCAATTCAGCCTTTTGGGGAGGCAGGACAGGCTGCTCCTTCCCCAAACTCCTTCCAGAGCCGAGAGCAATGCCACTGGATGCTCACATGGCTCGCAGTGGGCACAGGTTTGTGTCACGCTGCTGTGCAAATGACTGTGCCGACAGTCTCTTGTGTGAAACTTGTTATCACTGACAACTGGGGAAATTTGTTTTGCACCGCTTTTTTTTTTGAAGGTGTGAACAGCCCCACGTTGTTCAGTTTGTGTTGGGTGCAGGCAGCCTCCACTCACCCACTCCACAGTGCTTGGAGCCTTCTCTTGCTGGGTCGAACACGTGTTGTCTCACCACACAGACTCTTTCTGGGGCATGATTTTGAACCTACTTTTATTTTTTCCACCTTATTTATACTTCATTTAAATTGCTCAGCTCTCCTAGTCTTGCTGGGAGAAATTAGTATGTTTTGTGATCAAAGAGCACACGCTTTTATTAGCCGCAAACAAAACAAAGTTGCTCACTTTCTGCAATAACATTTTGAGAATCACTTCCAAGGCAAGTTACAGGTTTCCGTGGTAAGCTGTTTTGAATCTGGGGGGACATGGCAAAAGCGTAGTTTTAGGTTACTGTTTCACTGCAGGCCAATGGATGGTTGTACTGCGATGTCCAAGAACCTGCTGTCGATGACAGCAATTTTTACCCCTGAGCAATGCTGTATTTGGGTATTGCCTTGCACTCAAGGGGTAGAAGTTTCCCTCCCTCCCGTGAACATGCTCTGCGCATCTCCCACCAGAGCCAACCCTTAGTTGCAGTGAAGACTGTGCCGGCCCTGATTTTTGACCTTCTGTTGGTCACTCTCAGTTGTTCTCTCAGAGTTTACAGCTGCCCTCCTTCTCTTTTCCCAGCCATGCAGCAGCTAATTCCATGGACTTACTTATTTTTCTATTGTTTATTACGCATTAGCCAATACCAGCTTCCCTTGTACAATTACCAGTACTATTGGTGGCACAAGCATGATCAACGTAGACATAGAAAGTGGTTTCTTTGGTTTATTAAGGCTCTTTTTGCCAAGCATTCACAAGGACTGAGGAAATTGGATGAGATCCTTGATCCCTTGCCCAAAATTGAACAAAGGCATATATTTGAGTGGCACTAATACTGTTAACACGTTGCTTGTGGCCTCTGAGTCTATTGGCTGTGTGAAACAAAAAAAAGTATGTCTTGCCCAAGATTTTTGGTCCCATTCTCAGCCTGCTCCAGAGCAATCACTTTTCACAGAATGCTGGGGGTTGGAAAGGACCTTCAGAAATCATCTAGACCAACTGCCCTGGCAAAGCAGGTTCACCTAGAGCAGGTTGGACAGGAACGTGTCCAGGAGGGTTTTGAGTATCTCCAGAGAAGGAGACTCCACAACCTCTCTGGGCACCCTGTTTCAGTGCTCCGGCACCCACAAAGTGAAGAAGCTTTTCCTCAGGTTGAGGTGGAATTTCCTGTGTTCCAGTTTGTGCCTGTTGCTCCTTGTCCTGTTGCTGGCTCCACTGAAAAGAGTCTGGCCCCATCCTCTTTGCACACACCCTTCAGATATTTATAAGCACTGAGAAGATCACCTCTCAGTCTTCTCTTTTCTGGCTAAACAGACCCAGCTCTCTCAGCCTTCCCTCATAAGAGAGTTGCTCCATTCCCAGTTCCTTAACATCTTCGTAGCCTTCCCTGAACACTCTCCAGTAGTTCCCTGTCCTTCTTAAACTGAGGAGCCCAGAACTGGACACAGAACTCCAGATGCGGCCTCACTAGGGCAGAGTAGAAGGGTGGGGAGGGGGCTGGGGGGTGGTGTGTTTAATTTTTCTCATAATTAAAGACAAAGGAAAAGGAATGGATCTAGTACCCACTGAACCAGCGCTTTCCCTCTGGTTTGGGTGGGTTTTATTTCAGGTCCTCAAAGGCAGGGGTGTTAGTTGGTCCAAAATGCAGGTCATCTAGAGGACCACACATTGTAGGTCCGTTCGACTCCACATGAAACAATTGCGAAGTCTGTATTAACTGTTTCAAGGGGAAAGCATGTTTTGGTATAACACCCGCAGAAAACACACGAAGCATTTGTGAAAATATTCTGTGAAACACACATCCGAATTTGAACCAAACCTACTTGGAAGTGACCTCCTATCATAGCGGTACTGCTTCATGTCCGAGAGGTATTACGCGGCACAGCACAAACAGGAAATAGTGAAACATTCTCTTAGGAAATAGATTGAGCTCAGCATCGTTTCAGATGGTGTGATGGTCTAAAAGATAACGATCCCTTGGAGCACATGGCACCGTCTCTGGAGACCTTTAAGCAAGAATGAATTAGAAATTAGTGTCAGGTAGACAAGATACCGCTTTGGTTAATTCAATCAGCTGGCCAGTCTGCTTGAATTTATGAGGTGATACACATCATCCCATATGCCTTTCTGGAAATGCTGGTTTGGAATTTATCACCACTCTGGTAATGTATGGGATTATCTGAAATGAAATGTCCTGCAACCCACTGCATAAATCATGCATTGGTCGGCAGCCTTTTTATTTTTTCAATGTCAGTTCTGTCTTTTTGAGAGAATTTATTGTGGTAACATATGATGTGTGTTTTAAATACTAACCTGAAGCTGTCCTTCCCCTCCCTTTATTTTCTGCTTTCCCTCCCCTGCAAGCTTCCATAGTGACTGTCATACAGCTTGTCAACAATGTAGTTGACACTATAGAAAATGAAGGTATTTAATTTTTTTCTTTCTTGTTATGCAACAATGCTTCCTGTTTTCATTGTGAAACATTCCAGCAGAACCTCACTAATCTACACTGACCAGCAAACCTGTGGCAGGGATTGGGTTTTGCAGATCAGCATCTTCACCAGCAAACATGAAAACACCAGCGGGATGTACCACAAAATATCTGTGGGTAATTGGAGGTGGTAGAAAAGGTGTAAAGGCCTTCATCCTCTTCTGTTCAAGTCGGTGTTTTTGCTTGCTTATTCCCATTGACTTCAGAGGAAAGGATTAAGTTGATAATGGAGCCAAATCATTGAGATTATCTGCAGAGACTGGGAAACAGGAGGCGGCACGGGAAGGCTGTAACGTATCCCAGGCTGCAGTAGAGCTGGGTTATGCACTCCAATGGGACCACATGGAGAGGAGCAAAGTGGTGGTAGGCAGGTGGCTGCGTTGTCTTCAGATAAAAGATGTGCCACATAGCAGGGCAGCCTGCCTACCACTGCCTTTCCCCTGGGGTTGATGTGCCCATTAGATAGAGCTTGGCAGTTGGGTCCAAGGACCCAACACTCAGCTCTGCCACTGACCTCCTGGGTAACTGCAGGCACGTCATGTTACAAGTGAACTGGTTTCTCTGTCTGTAAAACAGGAATATTGCTATTTTTCTCTTCTGTAAAGCACTGAGGAAATGTGATGTATCATATAAAAAAATTAATTTTACTTATATATAGAACATTTACCTTATCCCTGGGAAAATAGCAACTCAACATCAATTGAAGTTATCCACAAGTCCAAAATTTCATATGTCTTTAGCAAATTTAAGTCAGCTTTTGCAGACTTCAGCTAATCCAATCTGCATAAAGCATAAAGATGATGAAGTAAGTTATTTTTGTGAAACGACTGATTTTTTTTTTTTGTTGAGCCAGTGTCACAGTAATTTTGAAAAGCACCCGTACTCCTAGCTAGTGATGCTGCTTGAGTATTTGGCTATACCATATTTACTGATTTCTTGAAGTGTAAGAGTGCAATTCTTCTTGCTATCAACTAAAATGAACTAGCAAAGGTTAATTCAAAACAAAAATACCACTCAAAAAACCAATAAAATAGCCTTGAAAAGAAACCACAGACACTGTAAATGGCCTTGCCTTCCTAAAGTAAAGCTTAAGCAAACACATTGGCTCCCCATCATGCTTTACAGGTCAGAAAACTCCAGTCTGGCAGCAGTTTCAAGAGGCTGTCACTGAAAATGCTTTGCTCACTTCCCAGTTCCCTATATGAGATGTAGGAATCTTGGATGCTCTGCAGCAGAGCAGGTGAAAGCAGTGAACAGTTAGCTGCACCAGAGCTCCCAGTGCATGCCAGGCAGAACCGCTGCCTGGTGGGAGGAAGGACCTCCTTCCCCAAGGAGCTGCCGGGGGTTTTGCGAGTCAGCAAATTAGTGAGGTTCTCCTGGATCCTGAATCCATACAGCTCGGAGGGACCTGACACATCTCGGGTGCAGTGTCATTACTCTGACGGATAGACAGCAAACTCCGCTTTACAGAAGAGAAGTGGGGCAGGAGAAGAGAGGTTAGGGCCGGTTCAGACACTGCTGCTAACCCTGCAGTAGCCCCAGCCCTCCTCACCCCAGGCTAACGCAGAGCAGGTAGAAAGCTCCTGTCTGGCTAACAAAGAAATCACCATCGCCACATGCCCCACGTGGTGATAAGCAAGGCAAGAGTCATGTAATAGGTGGAGGCCTGGAGAATTGTCTTCTCTGCCCTCGTCTGTGGCTGACCCCTAGAAGTTAGGTACAATAACACCATAAAGGTCCATTTATCTGCCCAGACCCCAGCAACGCAGCCCAGAGACCTGGCGCAGAGACTTCTTGCATGAAGCCCAATAACATGTGGCTGAACAAGAGCATCTCATCTAGAAAATGCTGCAGCTTATCCGCCGCTCTTGTCTCACATAAAACCTCTTTCCTTGCTCTCTCCCCCACCCCTGCACCCTCTCCATACTGGAATGCCTCCCTCCCCACCGGCTAGCATGGCAGTGCAGGTGGGAGGTGGGTATGGGGTTGTGGGGCATTGTAGCTGACCGCCCCATTAAATGGATTTGTATTCTATTCTATTCAGGTTCTTATACCGTGCCCATCACCATGGTATCTGAGCCCAGGTGGGCCCAGATTTGTTTGAACCGGCCCTGAGAATGGTAGATTCTTATTTTTCTGTTTCAAAATGAGCAACTGAGAGAATTGTGCTTTGCAATTATAAACCGTAGAGATGGTGGATAACCCTTTTTGTATTAAGAATTCCAGCTCTAATGTAATTCCGTATCTGTTCAGTGAGGGTAAATAATTAAGATATGATACAAAAGGAATATAATACCCGTGACATAATCATTTCTTTACATATGTCTGCATTTGACTGGGCAAGCTTATCTTGTACGCTAAAATAAAGAACAATTAAAAACCCTATTAAAATGACACTGAGGCAGCTGTACTTAGCAGTATGCATGGAAAGTTTTGTGTTGTCATGTGTAATACAGTGCTGGTAACAAGCTCCGAGTTACCAGTTTTTACTTTTCACTTTGTATCTGACAGTGTCTGTTATGGATCAAGGACAGAACTACAACAGAGGTGATATTTCTGAGACACTTTCTGCCTGTTGGACTGGTCTGGGGTGGGCAGGGCATTGACTTGATCTGTGTTTTTTCTTGAACCGCTTCACATGTCCTCTTTTGTTTGAATTCTGTTGGGTTCAAATGCTGCATGCGACTGGCCAGCCACGTTTTTTATTTCAGGATCCAGTTTTCAGTTCACCGGATTATTTGCTTGCACACTTTTTTTCTTGAAAAGAAGTCATTGGAGGTCGAAGGGGAGGCTTGTTGTGATACCATACGCATGCTGACTGCATTTGTAGATATTTGTCGATTAACTGTGAAAAGCATTAATTCAGAGATTTTTGCCATTTTGATTTCTTGGACCCCTAGTTTCTAATACAACCCAATAGCATCCTAAAAAGCAAAATGCCCGAGAGTGGACGTGGTTTGTTTCTTTGCTTGCTTGCATTAGCATCATAATGCAATTTATTCTCCCCCCCTACCCCTCTGGTCAGAGCATGGCTGACCTGTGTCGGTGGCCTGGGGCGCATGCTGTGATTTAAAGATGCTGTGAGGACTAAGAGGCGAGTGCATGTGGGACACACTGTTGTCATTAGTTGTCCCATCCTCACGGAACACTGTGCTTCTCTTTCCTGCTGCAGCGTATCATTGGGATACCTCTGACTGGATGCCAAGTGCTCGCTTGTCCGACATTGAGGAAGTGCCCAACTTTGAGACAGCAGATGGAGGCTCGGCTCATCACGGCAGTGCCAGAGAGCTGGAAACAGATTACTACCTTGGTGGCTACGACATCGACAGCGACTACCCTCCCCCTCACGAAGAGGAGTTTTTAAGCCAGGACCAGTTACCACCTCCTCTTCCAGAGGATTATCCGGACCAATACGAAACCCTCCCGCCCTCGCAGCCAGTGTCAATGGCAAGTACACTCATCCCCGATTGCAGGCGACGGCCACACTTCCACCCTAGCCAATACCTCCCTCCTCACCCGTTCCCCAGTGAGACGGACGCCACAGGGTCTCAGACTGGGAACGAATTTAGTACTTTTGCTGTTGGCCCAAGCCAGAACACAGAAAATGTTAGTGCAGGTAAGGTGCCCTTATCCTTGCACAACTCTCTAGATGCCTCCTCCTCTGACGTCTCAGCCAGCTGCGGCTTTGATGACTCCGAAGTAGCTGTGAGTGACTATGAAAGCGTGGAGGAACTCAACCTAGAAAATGTTCACATTCCATTTGTGGAGACCCAGCATCAGACACAAGTGTAAAGGAAGGTCCCTTCCTCTTCTTCTTCTTCTTCTGCTTCTTCTTCTTCTCCTTCTCCTTCTTCTTCTTCTTCTTCTTCTTCTTCTTCCTCCTCTTAGTTTTTTTTCTTTTTGTCATTTGGTCCAATTAATAGTATAAATATTGAGAAAAAATTTTGCTGAAGGTGTATCTATATATATTGGGTAAGGCAAAAAGACAGTATAACCCATTATTAACTTGTTCAGAAATGATACTGTATGTGCAGACACGAAGAGACCAATTGTGTTAAGTATTATACATCGCAAAATGGTTACAGACAATCTAGAGAGTATGTACCTTCTATTTATTACCTGGAGTAAAACTCAGCTTTTGAGGCAGGGGGAAATAATAATTGCTACATAATTTCTTTCTCTTCCCCCAAATTTTGATTTTTTTTTTGTTATTGTATTATTAAAAGTGTTACAGTGTTATAATCTCCCCACAGTATTAAGGAACTGGTTATGGATCATTCCAAGATGCACTGTTGCATGAAATTTTATGTCAGCAAAAGTGAAAGCAATTGATCCCTGAGGCTGCTGTGTAGAACGTGTCAGGTGGCTGAAAAAACAGCGATTACAAACCGACCCATCAAAGATAACCAACCAGTCATTTCTCTGTAAATATTTATCTATACCTTTGTTTGTTACATAACATTTCATTCTACTTTGTGTGCATATAGAGCAACATATACACAGCATATATTTACTCCAAATGGGCCTACTTTGGTTGCCATTTTTTAAAAACCTGATGTCAGGCAAGTGTGGATAACTTCAGCCATGAGGACTTCTAGAAATGTCAGTTTGGCTCAGTAGTGGCCCAGTTTTGCCCCAGCTGTGTATGCACAGCCTCCCTTGACTTCTGTACGCGGTGTGAACTTGGATCTGAAAACGTCGGGGAAACTAACTGTCTACAAAGAGCTGCTGATTCTTTTTTGAAATTCCTTGCTTGGGCAATCTCCTCTTTAAACACAGTCATCTTGCTACAATCAATGCAGTAAAATTAGTTGCAATGAAGTTGCCTGTGTTGCTGCTCAATGTTATTTGGCAAATGTGCATCCTTAGAGTTCACGGGACGAGTTCTCAGCTGCTGTAAACTGACTCGGTGGAACCGCACAGATGGGCTGTGGCCAGAGATCTGGTCCTGGATTTTCCACTGGATGTGGGATTTGAGGACTTCCAAAGGTTGTTTGCAGACTTCAGGATATTGTTGTGGGATGAGGTAAACCACAGCATCAGTACGCTTTTGTGCTTCCCTCAGCCTGACTGGAGTAAATGGCCTTTCACACTGATTTGGCCTGAGTAGCTAAGTGCAAGGTGGCAATATGGGATTTTCACTCAATGTATTAAATCAGAATATATATACCCATTGCTCAGTGCTATGAAAATGTTTTTACCACTGCATTTTACAGCATCTGTATACCTTATACAGTGAATACGAGTCTGCATTGCTGCTGGGGTTTAATCCATTGCTTCCATGGCATAATTCAGTCATTGTGAAAAGCTATTGAATACATAAATCATTGCTATAGATTAGCAGGTTCATTAACAGTTTTTCTCTGCTGCTTTCCATGTCCTGTCTCTTGGTCAAACGTTTTAACTGGATATTTCAACACTTGTGTTCCAGGGCAACGTGTTCTTGACTGATGGGTTTCACCCCAAATTAAATCGTGGGCCATTTTTTGACTTACAGGAAGTATTTATTCAGAAATTGCCCCCAACACAAAGAAATTATTAATAGAATGTAACTGAAATAATTGCAGCTTGTAACACTTTTAATAAAACAGGATTTCTAAAATTCGTGGACTAGGTACAGTATGTTGCTGCTTCCCTCCAATGGCTCATCCAGCTGTGAAAGATTGGTGTAGATATTGTTTTGGGATCATGCAGCAGTTGCTCACTAGACACCACCTCATTATACAGGTACATGAATAAATTGGGTGAACTTCTAGAAAGACCATGTACTGCACATACAAGTATTATCAAGTACTTGTCTGCAAATAGTTCCTGTCCATTGAATTTATGAATGTCACTTGGTCTTCTCAAAGTAAACATGCTTCTGTAACAGTGATATATTCTGAATGTGCTTATGGTACGTTCCAGCCCCCTTTCCCTGCTATTATCCTCGTGTTTTCAAGAAGAAAAAAATACGGAAATTTGTATTGCGATTGTAAGGAACTGAGGATTTTGCCAACAAGCCATGAAATGGTTTGGCATGCCTAGAGGTACGGTTAGGGGATAACTTGCATTGTTCATGATGTCTGTGTTGCAGGAAAGCAGATGCAATTAGATTGATGTCTCAAGAGTAGGAATATCTCAGTTTGAAAAACAAAGCTGCAAATTTAGCTGCACTTTTAAAGCTGTAAGACTTTCTGAGAACGTAATGCTCTCTTAGCATTAGGCTGCAGTTTACACGTGGTTTGCTCCTACTCAGTTTTGGTGTGAGACATTTTTATCCATTGTGCAATTAGTTCTGCCTGAGGCCCCAACTAGTTAAGAAGTGTACTTGGCATATGTTTTCTGTAATGAAAATTCTCGGCTAAGCCTGACACACCGACATCAAACCTTTACTGGGACATATCAAAAGTCTCACAAGGAAGAACACCACGGAAGCCTAGCAATTGCCATACAAAAGTAAATCAGTGTTTCTTACCAAGCTTGTTGCCTCAGAAATATCTTGTTGGTAGTGAGTTTTACTAGTAAAATATGCATAAATACAATGTATAGTACTTTTTTCTGTTTTGATGTCGTTGCCATTTCATTTCACTGCATGCCTACTTATTAAAGTGCTGGTGGGAAGGTGCCAAGGATCACCCGTTCAGCCTTCTCTGTCCCACTCATGATTTCTATACCTCAATACCTCCTCCCCTCCAAATCAAATAGGCCTATTCCATCTTTGAACAGGTACCCCTCTGTGAATATTGGTACTTCTGCCACCTGTCTGGTTTTGTTCTGGCTCTTTTTGATAATGATAAGACACAAATGCAGATCTTAAGGTGAAATACCTCTTAGGAAGTAAGATTTTCATATTAATATCTCTCTTGTTAATCCAAACCATTTTATTTTTTTTTTAATTACTGCTTTACACAGTCAAGCACTAATCTTCTAACCTGGAAGATAACCACATATTCATAACCTAATGTAAGAATTAGTGTTCATATTATTCCATCCAATACATAATTGCTCTTCTGCCATATGATGATTTTTATCTTGCTGCTGCTGTCATTGCCAGGTCCCTGGTACTGTTACCCCTTCACATGTCTGCTTATCCTGTGTGTCTGTATTTCAACTCACATTCCTGTAGATGGCTCTACTACACGGTATTTTCTTTCGGAATCATCTGTAGGACAGGTTTCATAGGCTTAAAGTACTTTTGTGTGTCAGTGGATTATAGCTCTTAGGATCAAGACAGTCTTTGCTTTTTGTAAAGGAGCGGCAGAAGAAATAAGCAACTTGTTAAAATTCAAATACAGTCTTGTGTCAAAAGCCACTGATTTTGCCAGAGTCTGGGTAAAAGCATGCTCTCTATGTTTCCATCAGGGTGAAAATGTCATACACACTGACAGACCTTTTGATAGCTCTGGCAATGGAAAGAGCCTTAAAGTGACTGACAACATTAATTTATGCTGCCAATACTGCAACCAGTGGCCTTTTGCAAAAGGAAAAATTAGGCTTATGTACCTTTCTTGAATATGTGAATTATTTTCCCTTTCTACACACACACTCCCCAAACCATGGATACTGGATGTGATTACCACTCTGAGCCGGTATCTTACAGCAGGGCAAAGGGCCAGAGGTGACACCGAGGAGCCGCAGCCTCACTTTCCTCCCATGGAAGACCGGCATAAAGTTGCCTTCCTATAGGACACAGCACGTGAAGGCAACTAGGAGGATGTTGCAATGCAGAGATTCGTTACGGTACTGTGGTTTTCAGGCAATCCAGGCAATCAAGCTATTTTCCTAAAGCTCGGTGATGTCTTTGAATTATCCCACTGGTGTCTTTCACCTACAGAGCAGTGTAAGGCTGGGAGTCAAAGCCTACTCAGTGCTGTTTCCCTGAACTTGTGTGCTCCATCTCTCAAGTGTCCTCTGCATGTCCCACAGATACGTCAAATCTTGGTCCTCAGAATTTTTTTCTTCCCTTTTTTAAATTCTTTGGTGTAGTCTGGAGTACTTCATGCTAGCCTCGATGCATTGGTATCCCCTCCGGCCAGAACCTGACTGGGTGCAACACAGTGAGGAAATGCATGGCACTGAAATGCTGATTCCTGGTGCCTGTTGTCTCTGTGAGCCAGGCAGGTGGTAGTCTTTGAAAATATGATATAATAGTTGTTGCTCTTGGCTCAATAGCCATTGTAAAGAGAACTATGGGCTGGATAAGGCAATTGGTTAAGAACACAGCTTTACTCCTCATCAAGCTCCTGCTTGAAAAAGCTAAACGGATGGTATAGTGAATCGTTATAGCTGATAATAACTGCAGTCCTGGGAGAAGGAGTTGAAGGTGCCCTGGACCAGTTCTGCTAAGCTTTGTTTGAAAAGGTAGCATCCTTAATAATGGAGAAAAACAGCTATTTAAAACCAGTAGTGAAAGTACATCTGTGCTTTGTTGGAAATTTTTGGAGCTATTCAAGAGTAATAATGGATGTTTCATAGGTTCCCAGTGAGACAGCTGCCTCTCCAGGTTCATTCTCTGATAGTTTATGGTCATTTACCATGCAGTAAAACTGTGCTTTTTGCCTGTTTGCGACTCTGTTCCTCTCAATGCACCAAACTGTAATTTGAGCCTTAGAAATTTAGACTATTGCCCATTATCCATAGCTTTTAGCCCATGTTTCATAAACTTGACATTTAACATCTCCATTATCAGAAAGGCCATTCAGTTAGTAAATTAGCTGCACCATCCAAGGGATGGGCGGATGGGGAGGAAATGAAATTAAATTCATTTCTTTATGTAATAATGAAAAGCAATAATTGCAAATATGTCGTAT